GTCTCCAGTACTGCAAATAAAAACAAACCGCCCAGTTCCACCTGGTACTGACAGGCGGGCCTATGTTAGAGTGGAGGCAGCCTCACCCTAATGGGCGGGGGGACAATGCTGCTCCCAGCCCCTGGGCTCCAGGGCGAAGGCAACACAGTCCTGTCCCAGCTCGGCCCTCGAGGCAGGTGGCTGGGTCCTCCCCAGCAAACCACCTCCTGAGGCCGGGCAGGGGACCCACCAGGTCCTCAGGGAACTCCGGAGGCGTGGGACTGGTGGCAAGGCCACCCCTGCACCTTGGGAAGGCTTCATCCCACTTCACCGCAGGCCGACAGGCTCCCAGGCACCACCCCGTGTCACCATGGGGCAGCCTCGCGACTTTGTAGTGTTTCTCCTCAGACAAAAAGATTTTGAGTAAACACTGTACATTGCCAGTTAATCTCTTAACAATAATTTCAAAAGGCCCTGTTGTCGCGCGAGGGGACCAACAATAACAGAGCAGCACAGGGTCTTCAGGAGGATCGGAGAGGACGGGAGGGACCACAGGAGGCGGGCAGGGCAGCAGATGTTCATGCAGCGGGCCTGAATGAAGACTGGGTCCACCCCAAACGGCTGGCCTCCCCCACAGGCTGCCGGCCTCAGGGCTTTGCACCCCGGAAAGTTCACAGAATCAGACAGTTCCGAGCATTTTTTAAAATGCCTAAAAAACATCAGCATGGGTAAAATACAGTTAACTTAAAAACGCTCTACGTCCAACGTGGAGAGAAGCCCAACCCAAAGGGAACGATGCGGATTTAACAGAGGCGCCTCTGGGGTCGGGAGCGAGGGGGAGCAGAATCTCTTAAAAGGTACACTTTTAAAACTTATATTTTAAATCTATTTATAACCTTATTTACCTTTTCTGTTTAATATACTGTGTGTAAAAAAGATGGAGACAAAAATATTTTTCTGAGCTAGGAAAAGAATGAAGTCATTTCAGGCACATTCACTGTCCATCCCAGAGACGTCCGTCAGGCGGACGTGCGGCAGCTGTGCGGGAGACACGCCACTGTGACCCGGCGTGCAGGAGGCTCCGGAGGCCGTCAGGCTGGTGTCACGGCTGCGGCTTCTCCTCGGGCCCATCCTCGCTGTCCCCGAGCTCCTCCAGGGATGCCGCGTTTCCGGGGGACGGACACCCCGAGGCGGTGGGGTCAGGCGGGGCCCATCTGGAAGGCAGGCGGCGGTTGGCTGGTCTCTCGGGCCTGGAGAAGCAGGGCTCTAGGGACGGGGCACGGGCGGAACAGGGCAGCTCCTGGGCGGGAGGGAGAGCGGTGTTAGAGGGCAGCCTGCAGGACTGCGACGCGCCACACCCACACACGACGGGCTGGACGCCCATGGAGGACAGGTGAAATGGCAGCAAGCAAGCAGCATGATTGGTGACACGGGGGCAGCCAGCCGTGAGCGGAGGTGGCGGACTGTGGGTCGGGCCTCCTGGCAGACGGGCCCCGGCCACCTCTTCCTGCTCCACCCAACAGCTCTGCTGGGCGACCTGCTGTCCTCCGAGGACGGGGCGTCCTCCTGCCGGGCTAGCGGCCAGCTCTCCCTGCAGCCAGCCCTGCCGCTGTCTGTCCGCAACCAGAGCAGCTGTCATTTGTGTCCGGGGCACCCTCACCTCCTGAGCTGATCACGAGGCCCCCCGGCCTCCGTGCGAGCCAGCGGGACCCTCACGCTCAAGGCCCATTTCTGTTGGGGAGAACATTTAGCTCTCTGTGCCCACTGCTAGGTGACAGGGACACGCAAGCTCGGAAGCTGGTGACAAGAAGTGTAGAAAGCTGCGGCCCCCGGAGCCCAGGTGATGGCACCCAAAAGCTGATGTGGGAATGTGGCCACGGGGGGCCCGGGAGGGATGGTGCAGAACGAGGACCTCGAAGACGGCAGCAAGTGGGATGTGACAAGTGACCCAGGGGATGGACAGGAGCTGGGGCGACCCCGGGGGAGATGGGGTGTCCGTGAGGATGATCCGGCCCCGGGGATCATCAGCTGAGGAAGGGCGGTGCAGGGCGGGTGGGTCCCCTGCCTCTCGTGGACGCTGGGGACGCCTCGGGACACTGTCCACCCCCAGTGCGGGACCCGGGTCTGGGAAATCGGCTAACACTGTGTCTCTGCTTCATGACTGAGCACACGCGTGTGCTGCACGGTGCCCGCTGCTTCGGGACTTTCCCAGGCCAGCGCCCCCTTCCAGCCTGCCGGGGGCCTAGGGCCACAGCCGCAGGCAGCAGGTGGGGCTTCCTCCCCCAGGGCCACCCTGCGAGGGGCCGGGGCCTCCAGTCCTGAGGCGCTGCCCGCAGAACCACCGTCCCCACGCGGGGTCACTGAGCGTCAGCCCTCGAGGGCACACAGGGTGTCAGGCTGGCCCGGGATGTGCGTGGAGTGGACCCCGGAGATGACGATGGTGTCAGACACACGCACGACCCTCTGGACGCCGGGAGGCACTTACAGCAGGAGGCGGACAGGGCTAGAGTCCCCACGGGGCAGTTAGTAAGACGGGTGGGTTCTGGACCGACAGACAGAGAGAAGAGAAAAGCAGGCAGGTGAAGGCATGGTTTCAGCAGCAGCAGTCAGTTTCCAGCCACGGGGAGCGGGCGTGGCTCCCGGGGACAGCCGCCTGGGGGGAACTGTCCTCTGCCCTGCCCAAGAGGAGGAACCGCCTTGTCTCTGCGCAGAGGGACCACTGGGCGGGACCCGGGCTGGCACCCGGCTGAGGGCGCCCTGGTCTCCACTGGGCCTTCCGCTGCTCAGGCTGAGCCCCCAGCGAGGGCAGAGCGGTGCCGAGTTCCTCCTCATCCTCCTCAGGGCCCTCAGTGCTGTCACCCTGGCCCAGACATCCGGGCGGACGGTCAGGAGGGGTCCACGGCAGGAGTGGGAGCAGGCCAGGCTCCAGCAGTAGCTCTAGAGACTCGGGATGGAACCCAGGGCTGCTGCGTGTTTGCGGGGACACAGAAGGGGGCCTCCTTGCAGGTGGGCTGGCACTCCACGGTCAGTGCAAACACAATGGCCCACTGCAGAGGAGCGGTCGAGAGCTCCTGACTGGGCCCGTGGGGCTCCCCTGGGCCTGCATCCCCGAAGCTATGCCCCCCCCAGCTTGGCAGCGAGCACAGCACACGGGCTGAGGGAGGGCAGCTTCGGAGGGCTGCATTTCACCCCGAAGCCCTCTCCGTCCTGCTGTTGCAGGGCTCACGGTCAGTAACTCAAAGCATCTCGAGGCGCCTAAACTAACGGGTGAGGCTCCACTGAAGTACACTGCACACCAGCCCGCCAAGGACCCTGGGACAGGGCTCGATTTCAGGGGCCTCCTCGGGCCGGGAAAGGCAGGGTGACCACTCACAGGGCAGCCGCCATGCCACAAGCACGTACCTGCGGGCTCCCAAGGGGCAGAGGATCAGAGGACCCGGCTGTCATGGAGCACAGCCCCAGCAGCACCTGTCCTCCGCGTGTCTATAGCACGCCTGAGACCCGCATCTCTGGAGCAGTAGGCGGCCCCCGGGTCTGCCCATTTCAGATTTAATTACATTGGGGGACACAGTCCTGGGGGGACTGACACCGACCCCACTTCCCCCCCAGGGGAAACGTGGGTGTGGTGACATGGACACACAGCTTCGTTCTCTCCTCTCCCCCCGGAGTCGGGCCCACCAGTCTGGTCACGTGCGTGACGCTTGCCGGACAGCCCTGCAGGGACGTGGCACCTGCAGGCCACGTGTCAGGACAGAGGGGGCTGGGCTGACTTGTGGTCACTGGGACGGTCGCCGTCACCCTCCGGCAGATCCAGGCAAGACTCGGATTTGATCCATGTGTTCGGCCTGGCTTCCGTGTGAGCGGACTGCTGGCCACCCAGTGACGAGGGAGGAGTGGGGAACCCAGCCTCCTCCGCCTCCTGACAGGAGACACACTCCTGTCCCCAGGCCCCACATGGAGCTCTGTGGCTGGCAGGGGCCTGACGGGTGCTCCCTCACCTCATACACGCGCCAGGTCACACAGAGACCGCACACCGTGACCCCGTGCAAAGCCCAGAGAGGTATGGCCCGCCAGTCACTTAGACCAGTGGACAGGATGCCATGCAGCCACGCCCTGAGTGAGGTGCTGAGCACACTTTGATGACCCTTCCCTCAAGAAGTTACTCGGGGCTGCGGCTGCCACTTACCCTGTCCTCCTGCGAAGGCCACCCTCCTGCTCCTGCAGAACCTGAGACCCACATCTGGTTGCCCCCTGGCCCCATGGCTGGCCGCTGAGCGGAGGAGCTGGCTGAGACGGGCACTGAACACTCTGCACGCCTTACCTCTATGGCCCCTGGCTCAGCTGAGGCCGCTTCTCCTGGAAGGCTGTCGCTGTTGAGCGCCAGGCCGTGGGCAGCCTGCCTCCTGTCCTCCTTTAAGGCGTGCTCCAGCAGCTTCCTGTTGAGGATCCGCGCCACGCTCTCGGCCAGCGTGTAGCCAGGGGGTGCGGACAGGTCCTGCCTCACAGGTGTGCCCTCCCCCCTGTCCTCCCTGCCCATCGTCTCTGTGCCCATGCCCAGTGGGCTGGGCAACCTTCCCTGGGAACCCGGGCCCGTTTCCTGGCCAGGGCCCAGCTCTGGCCGGGACCCGGCCCGAGCACCCTTCTGGAAGGCGTCCTGCATGGCCGGGCTGTGGTCGATGATGCTGAACAGGCTAGAGAGGCCGTCGTTGATGGTGGTGTGCACTGGGCTTTCCCGCGTGGTGGTGGAGCGGGCCCAGGCCGACTCGCTGAACCCCTTCTGGCCGGCCCCTGCCGAGGTCCTGCTGCCTGGCTGGTCAGCTTTGGGGAGGGGCTTCCTCTGCAGCTTGGGGGACCCGTACTTGGGGGAGCAGCAGGTGCGCTCAAACTTGGCCTGGACCTTCTCGATGGCAGGGGCCACCTGCCTGCTCCTAAGGCTCCGGGACGGGGATGACACGGGAGTGGCACCGCCCCCCGCCTTTGGGGTGAGGCAGCGGTGGGGGCTGCTGGTGATGGTGCCGGTGCGCAGGGCTTCAGTCTGCAGGCCCACGCTGACTGTCTGCACGGCCTGCGTCCCCGCCACGCGGGACCCGTTTGTCTGGCAGGCCATGTCCTTGACGCGCGGCCTTGGGGGCCCGGAGCACAGGGCGTTCCTGACAGAGAAGGCCGCTGCCTTCGTGTCATCGCTCATGTTCTTGGCCATGTCCAGGCTGTGCGGCGGGGACGCGAGCCCCAGTGGGGCACAGAGAGGGAGGTCGAGCGGGCACAGGGCCCCCTCCACATGGTCTCGGGGCTGTCTGGCAGGGGTGCAGGGCCACCTGCCCGGTGTGGGAGGTTCCTTGGCCTCTGCAAGGCTCCCCCTGGCTCTGCCCGAGGGTGAGGGGCCCTCAGGGTCCAGTCGGCCCCTGCCCTCGGCACCTGCTGCGGGCCCAATGCTGTCCACCCTGCGGATGGCAGGCGGGCTGTGCAGCACACGCACCCTCGATGGCTCGGCAATGATGTGGCTGTGCAGCGCCTGCTTCCGGCAGTGCTCGGGGCTGCTCACGGTGTCCGTGGGCATGGTGACACTCGTGGTCAGGTACCAGGAGGAGGAGGGGAAGGGCTCTGCCGGGGTCTCCTGTCCCACCCGCCCGCCCTCGGTCCTGTCTGCCCAGGAGTCCGGGGGCCGCTCGAGGCCGGCCCTGGGGGCCACCTCATAGCCCCAGCTCTCGCTGTTGAACTCCTCGATGTACTTCAGGTCATCGGGGGACAGGGGCGGGGTGACGTCGTCCCGGCTGCTGGCTGGCGCCAGGCCCCTCTCCGGCAGGAAGGGGGACACATCCATTAGGCGCTGGAACTCGGACATGGAGGACACAGACATGGCCCTGGGGAGAGGGGCAGAGGGTGAGCGTGCACCGCCCCTTGAAGGCTCCCACACCCAGAAGGGCAGCCCCTCCGTCCCAACCATCAGGACCCCGCCAGCTGCCCAGTGCCCAAAACTGTCTTCCACAGCCTTGGACACCAGGTGCTAATTCATCAGGGAAACAGGAGGGCTGGGGCGAGGCCTCCAGCACCCCCTCTGCGACCTCCACACCAAGCACCCCGGCCGGCGCGGGGCAGCCTGTGAGCCAAACACCAGGGAGCTGGCGAGGGGGGAGACACAGCTCTGACCCCCATGGCCTCGGGAGCTGGTTGCCAAAGGCCACGTGGGAGACACGAGGAAGGAGGGACAAGGGAATCAGACAGACCCCAAGCACTCACCTGCCTTCCTGCCCTCCTTCCTATGTCTGCCCATCCCTCTCACACTGGCTGGGGCATTTATGGAACTTTGTGTTCAATTCTGGGGACAACGTCCTAAAATAGCTATTCTTTATTAGTTCTGAAAGTCTACTTTCTTTCCTTGCTGATTTTTTATTGGTATATGTTTGCAATGTATGGTTTTTACGTTAGTTTGGGGGCACAGGCACACAGGTAACACATAGCAATCATCTTCGATCCCTGTTCCCTGTCTTTGGAGACCCAGATATCATTTCCAACAGAATTCCCTGTGGCCAGAACCCACCAACAGGGCTTGCTCCCAGCCTCTCTGCCTTCGGTACAGCCTAGACTTGTTTGCGTTTCTCCTTTATATCCCAGGTAAGACAAACTCCCTTGGAAACCGGAACACAACCAAAGGATGAAGACAGCTGAAGCTAAGCAATGACTGGATTTTGCACGCTGTGCCTGACAGATGAGGACCTGGGGATGGACTCCAGATACGCTGGTGCTGCGACTCACAGGTTTCCACCTGACATGGCTTCACGGAGTGCCTTCCGTCTGCCTGGACAGGCACCACAGGCTGCTGGATCGGGGCGCCCGGCCACCCACAGGGGCCACGGAGGTGTTGGCAAAGCGGCTGGGGTGAAGGCTGGGGTGGCGATCACAGCTGTACCGGTCCCTTGTGGGACACAGTGCCTCCTCCGCCTCCGGAGACGGGCTCACATCTCAGGTCCAGACCACACTGAGCTCCACCGAGGGCTTCCAGAGGGAGAGCATGGCACCCGAAGGCAGCGAGGCCAGAGCTGGGCTTCTGCCCGAGCAAAGCTGAGCACCGTGTGGCAGCATCTAGGATGGGGCCACTCACTTCTGGGCTTGGCTGAGCACAGGGAAGTGAGGCGAGGGGACAGGAAGGGCAGACGTGGGCCCTGGCAGCTGAGAGGCAGTGCAGGCACAGCAGCCGGAGAGGAGAAAATGGAGGAAATTGGGGCCTGGCGTGCAAGCGCAAGGAACAGAGTTTGATCCCCAGTACCAAAAAAAAAAAAGAAAATGGAGGAAATGTAGCACAGGGTGGGAAGGCATCTCCTCTTCCTTCTGCACTGAATGTCTGGGTGCTGCCTCGGGGCTACGGCAAGCACGAGTGAGTTTGGGAAATGAAAAAGCAAGTGAGGTTCTAAGGTGCAGCAATACCGCAGAGAGGAGACAGCAAGGTCCGGTGTGGTGTACAGGAGCCAGCAGTGCCACGGGGGGTGTGTGCGTGTGTGTGCATGCGCGCGTGGACAGCTCAGCCCTGCTCCCACTCTCCCGTGTGACAGGAAGCACACATACGCTGCAGACAAACCCGAGTCTTCGGGTTCAGATGAAGAAAGCGAGGCACAGTGCTCCACCCAAGGTCAGGGGCTCCTGAGAGGCAGAAGCTGCCTTGGAGCCTGGGCTTGCCCTGCAAGGGAGGATGACACAGGCTTCCCTGGGGCGGGGAGGCGGCTCCCTCAGAGGAGGAAGGAAAGGCCCAGGAGCGGGAAGCTCACAGAGGAAGCACCAGGCCCTCTGCAGAGGAAGGAAAATGGGAAGCCAGAGAGGCAGCCTGCGCCTGACACCAACTGTATCAGCCCCATGTGTTTTCTTCAGGGATCACTGCCAGGAAAAATTCAGTAAATCCTCCTGGCAGAACTTTTTTTTTTTTTTTCCGGCACTGGGGATCAAACTCAGGTCCTTGCACTTGCAGGCAAGGCAGGCGGCAGAACCACTGAGCTAAATCCCCAGCCCCCCTGGTAGAACTTTTAAACACAGCATATCTGATGTCTCCTGTATCAAGAGAGGCTTTTTCCAAACTTACACCACAATTTTCCACGGGTTTTGCCAGGAACACCAAACACAGCGCCCACTGTACGTTCAACGCACCCTAATGGCAACGTCCTTGCTGCAGAGCTATGAGGAGACAGTGCTCTGGCCTTTCTGTCGCTGATCCTCAGAGAATGCACTCATAAAACCAGCGATAACAAGGCGACTCCTCAGGCTGCATCAACAAGATGGGATTTTAAGACCGGGAGGAGTGACCTATGATCCTGGTCAGTCAGACTTACCTTTGAAGATTTCTCTTGTGATTGTCTTCTTCCTGCAAGAGAAATAAGTTTGTCTGAAAGGAGCCTTGTTTTCGCTCTGCTCCCTAGGAAAACAGCATTTAAAGTGCACCCCGAGGCCCCCCATGTGGGTCAGGGGCATCACGGCCTGTGTCCTTCTGAAGGACACAGAAGGCAGAGTCCAAGCATGGTGTGGGGCGGGGGCTTCGGAGGTGCGGGAGGGGCCGGCACAGCTGGAGAGGAACACTGGCTATGAACTCATCACAGAGCAGCAAAGGGGCTCCCGCCTCAGGGCTCAGAGCCGGCTCTCCCAATAAGCTGGATGTGTGGGGGGTGAAGCAAAGGCAGGGAGAGAAGGGGTCATCGGGGACCGGCGTCCCTCTGCCCAGTCTTGCTCCTGCAGATGCTGCGACCCCCTTGTCAGGATCGAGAGTGCAGTCTCCCCTTAGGCAGAGGAGCGAGAGCTGAGCTAGTAGAGGGCAGAGCCACAGGGTCGCCTTCGAGAAGGCACCCGGATGCTGCACGCCCGGGGAGACGCCTGTGGTGGCCTGGCACACGCTCCTGGGGACATGAATGCTGGCAGGGGGCACATCCTCGTCTCTGCTGTGATACAGCTAGGGCCAGGACACAGCGTCCATGCATCCTTCGTCCTCTGTGCTTCGAAACCAGATCCCATGGGACGGTACAAAAGCTCCCAAATCTGAACCTGTGGGAGCTGACAGCCCGAAAACTGGCTTCGTGGACACAACTGCGAAGCACACTGTGTAAGTTACCTTCGGGCTGTGCGGGGAAGGGACAGATCTTATTACATATGTTCAAACATTCCCAAATCTGTAGAAAGCTGACTCCAAAACCCCTCCAGTGCCAGCACTTCAAGTAAGGGTGCTCAACCCGAATAATTTCTCCAGGTTGCAGCAGCACTGTTGACAGAAACTCTTCTAAGGTTTGTGGGAGACCAAATAACAGACACAGGTGATGCACCAGCAATGACTCTGAGCAGCAAGGTTTAAAATGAGGTTTTGAAATCGGCATAACCAGAAAAATGCATTTTATAGCTTAATTCAGCAATTGGTAGCCTAATTTATACAGGGTTTTCAGTATTGGATTTTCTCCCTTTCTGCTCAGAATAAAAGATTTAGGGTATGCAGCGCTTGGCAATACTTGCTACTTCCAAATGTTAGGGAGTTTCCTGCATAAAGAACTTCTGCAGTTATACTTTTCTAGAATCAGAAGACAGCCTGAGGGTTTCAGGGCACACACACTTCCGGAGTCATTCACTCCCCTCATGTGCCGCACTGGACAGCGCGTTCTCCAGCCCTCTCTTGGCGGAGGACACCAGTGCGGTGCTTCTGAGCCCAAGCCAGGGGCAGAGCTGCACGGGGCTCAGGGCGGCAGCTCAGGAAGACTTCCTCTTCAGTGCACTCACAGGGCAGCCCTGGATGCCACCAGGTTTGGGTCAAACGACAGCCCTCATCCCGCAGCAGTTAACTGGTGTGGCTGACCAGTGTGGTTGACTAGAGTGGTTAACTGGCATGGTTAACTGGCATGGTTAGCCCGTGTGGGTAACTGGCGTGGTTAACTCGTGCAGCTGCCCAGAGTGGGCAGAACCCAGGCTGACCTTGGGGAGGTGGCTCCTGAAGGTCCTCTTGGGCCCTCGGGGTCGGGGCGGCTCCTCCTGCTCAGTGTCCAGGGACAGGGCATCCAGGTAGAGGTTCTCGCTGGCCGAGCACCTGTCCGACTCCTTCAGCTTGGACAGTGGCTGGTCCTCACGCGGTGCAGAGTCCGTGACCTCACAGTGCCACGCAGACAGAGGCCGCGACCCGCGAGCTCCTCCGGGGTGGGGAGAGGGGCGCAGGTTGCCTCCTTTTTGATCACAGGGGAAACTGCCGCCTCTCTGGGGACTGCTCTCTTTCTGCAACTTGAGAATTTTGGGAAGGAAATCATTAGCCTCACATTTCGGTCTCATGGTTTTCCTAAGACCAACCAACCTCCCGCACGCAGAACGACACCCAGGTCTGTCTGAAAGATTCGGCAAAAAGCAAATGATCTTACAGTTCAGACTTAACTTCACAACAATTGTGTGGCACATGCCTGTAATGCCAGCACTTGGGAGGCTGAGGCAGGAGGATTGCTTCGAATTTGTGGCCAGCCTGGGCTACACTGTGAGTTTAAGCCCAACCTGAACAACATAGTGAGACCTGTTTCAAAAAACCAAAACAGCAACAACAAAACATCAATTTTATTTGGAGTAGGAAAATCTGCATTTACCACACAAACCTGGTCAATCCATCCGACCCAATGTGTATGTGTATTAAGTTGTTTTTCTTTGTCTGTGTTGTAAAGTACGTTTTTGTACAGCTTTGAGTACTATGCTCATGGGAAATTACATACTTATTTTTAAAAACTTGAATACGCCCTCCGAGCTTTGGGCACGCTCCCGGGGCACCATCCGTGGGCACACTTCCAAGTGAACCTGGCTTCCTGAGAGCCCCAACCCTCTGGACCTGTGGCCTGTGGGCAAAGGGGGTCCCCAGCTCATTGGGGAAGTGGGGTGTGTGGGCCGGGGCAGCAGGAAAAGTGCCACCCATGGCCGTCCAGCTGCATCCACAGGCCAGGGCATGTGACGCTGTTCGCCTTGGGAGGGGACCTCTTGGGGGAGCTCGGGAAGGAGCCCAGGTGCCTCGGTGGGCACCCACCCCAGTCCTCCTTGCTAAACGTCACAGACAGCATGGCTGGGCCTCCGGCACGGGTGGGCTCTTCACTGGGCTGAGAGCTGCACAGAGCTGCACACTGCCCTGGACTCTGCACTACCTGAAGGACAGGAGTGACTTTCGGGGCTGGCTTGATGGGCCAGGTGAAGATTCTCAGTCCTCAAGAGCTGGGAAACTGTACAACGCCGTGAACGCAGAGCGATGGGGTTTTAAGAAAGCATCTTCACATGTGGCACCTCAGTGCCCAAACAGGAGCCTTCAGCCCCAGGCCAGAAGCAAGCACACCCTGCAACCCGTCAGGGAGAGAGCCAGGGCAGACCTGGGGACAGGGACTGTCACCTGCTTACTCATTCCAGTCATTTGGAGCTGGTGGCATGGAAGTTTCAAGGAAGTATATTTCCTTCACGAGAAAGATGGAAGTGCCAGCAGCCTGAGCTTGGATGCTAGAGTTTGAGGCAGGTTCACGGTCAAATTAGGGAACAAGCGAATCACCCTGGGCTTCAGCTCAGCCCCACCCCGAGGACACAGTTCTCTGCAGTTCCCTTGAAGACGCTAAAGTCTTTCCTTAAGAAAAACACAAGGGAAAGCCTTGCATCGTGCTCATCCAGTGCATGTCAGTGCAATTTAGTTTTGACATATGATCATCTCCCAGCTATTCTGGGCAGGGAATTAAAATGCAAGACTCACAGTGGAAGCTGTAAATGTGCACAGAGGAGAAAGGATGACTAAAGCAGAGAGCTATGAACAAGCGCGTCCTAACTCAGGAAAGTGGAATCTCAAAAATAAACGCAGGCAGCCAAGAGCAGCCTGCACAAAAGCTGCTAAGTGTTCAGTTTCCCAAAAGTGAGCCGGAGGTGTCGCTGGAGCACTGCGGCTCGGAGGCCTCTGTGGTGCTGTAATAGAGCGAGCAGGCAGCCTGCAGAGACTGGGTTTCCGGGGCTTGTGGCACCTTCTCATGCAAATGGAACATTGGTCAGATTTTCATTTCAAATAATACAGGGCACAATGGGGCCTCAAGAGTGTCCCCTTACCCAGCCCGGTCCAGAGGAAAACGGTGGCTTTGTCAGCAGGTCTTAAAAGGGCCTTTCAGGCTGTAAAAGCAGCCAGCTCATTTAAGAAAGTACTGGAAGGAGAACAGAGGGCGTGCAAGCTGCCCACTTAGCGATGGAAGAACGACGACAAGCGCCTGTATGTGCGCACGAACTGCGAACTTCACGATTCGCAGAGAAATACTGCGACTCCATAAAACCTGACCACCTCGATCAGACGCAGCTTGGACAAGGGCCGCTGCCGAGACAGACACGCACGCCCAGTGACCTCACCCTCGGTCCCACAGCCGCTCCTCCCGCTGTGTCTCACACGGTGCGGAAATTATGTGGGAACTAGACGACAGCAGACAAGTATGAAGCATGTGTTCCTGAAGTGGAAAACGGATTTAAGGCTACTTCTTCACCATCTGCATTCGGCTATCAAATCAAGGTTACAGGGCTTACCGCGTGGTCAGGCATCGAATGAAGAATGTCCAGCTAGTCTTCGTTTATGTGAGGCTGCAGCTAAATGAACACAAGCGAAGGGGTGACCCGGTGACAGACTCGCACACACTGCAGCCGGGCTCCTGTTTGCAGAACACCTGGTGACTGTCTCGCCCAGTCCCAGGATCCGCCACCGACACTGACAAAATCTTGAAAACTGCTGGAGTTTGGGGGCAGAGGCTAGGCTTGTGTCGGAAAGCCAGCACTGCGCGTCCGCAGCAGTGGCGTTCACTGGTAACAAATTCTCGCTTAAAACCAGCAGCGGAGTCACTGTAGGGACTCTGGCGTCCAGCACACTGGTGTGAGGAGCAGGCCTCAGGTCTTGGCGCTCCAGGCTGCCAGCCTGCAGGACTCGAGTTCCATCTGTGACTGTCCCTCCGGCAGAATCTGACCATCTGCACCTTTCCAAAATTCAGTCCCAGCACGAGGTGGCAGCTCATCCCTAGGTTGCTGACCCCAAAGTGGAGTGTCACCGGATGTGTCTTCCTCCTCTCTGCCCATTCTCAAAAGCGAGAGGAAGGCCTGGAAGACTTGCTTAACTTCTGTCAAGGTGTGACTTTTAAAATGAATGAAACCTAGGCTTATGTAGGCGAAGGGGACCCTCAAGGCCAAGAAGGGAACATGGTGGCCTCCCTGGGGTGCACGGTAGGGGAGCCTAGAGTACACCGGGAAGGAAGGTCAGCCTGGGGTGATTATGACACTGGTCACTGAGGTTGGCTGAGACCCTGGGGAGGGTTCTTGTAAGATCCATGCTGCTGATCCCTAAGATTTCCACCTAACTGTGGAGCCAGGGCATAGCACAGGCTGCAGTCTCCTCACGGGAGGCTGCTACACGCACTCCACTTCCCAGGGTGAACCGGAAACACGACTTTCTTCTTGCCAGGATTTGGGGAATTCTGAAATGAAGCCACGTCAAGTCTCAGCAAGGGCCTGTGACTGTGAGTGACCACACCCAGGGGGCTTCTGCCTGCTTCCTCCCGACGGCTTCGCGGCCCAAGGCGGCTGGGTGCTTTCTTCTTACCACTGAGTCCCTTCTTCCTCCTTCCCCCTCCTACGTCATGCGGGGTGAGCCTCCGTCATCATGGCACCCGCGTAACACGGCACAGAGCGCACCTCACCAGGCCCCCCAGGGATCATGGAGCGACAAGGTTCCTCTTCCCGATCCCAGTTTCTCATCCATTAATAATCTGCTGGAGGCCCAGGGAACGCGTAAGTGTGCCAAGCTGGAATCAAGTCATAGGTAGAAACCCAGCCTCGGGCTCCGCATCTTCATCAGTGCAGTTTGGAAATTGCATCTGCACGTCACTCGGGAACCACGGCAGCTGCTTGAGCTGCTCCAAGTTTGCTGCAATGCAGAGGACGATTTTCCGGGCAGAGGAGAACAGCTCCCCACTCCCCGCTTTGCTCCAAGTCCCTCTAACGTCTGCTTGGCGGAGCACGGGGAGCGCCCGGCAGCCTCCCTGCTTGGGTCCTGATGACAGGAGGGGTGGTGCGGGTGGCAGCTGCTTCCCTGAGGCCAGGATTCCAGCTGGGGCAGTCGCTGCGACCACACCTCCACTGCAGGCCAAGCGTCCTTTGCTCTGCCGCAGGAAGTGCTGACTATGGCCTGAAATGACCCCTTTTTGAAGTTTCCTCTGCGAACTCCTTTCAAAAGTTATCATCCTCCCAACCCCACGTACACACGGGATCAGAGCGATGCAAAGATACACACAATCTAGCCAGACCCAGGTCTCCTAAGCTAGGAATCCTAGGATCTGGTTTTTTTTTTCCTTTCCTTTTGGTGGTGCTGAGGACGGAACTCAGGACCTTTGCACTGAGCTGCATCCCCAGCCCATTTTTATTTTGAGACAGGGCCTTGTGAAGCTGTGAAGGTTGGGCTTAACCTCGAGATCCGCCTGCCTCAGCCTTGCAGAGTGCACCACTACACTCACCGTGGAAATTCTGTTATTCCTGCCTCTTCCCCAGGAGGCCGGGCAGCCCAGGAGTGCCACTCACCTGCTCTATCCTCCAGGCCAGCTCCTGCTGCTGCTGCTCCCAAGCACGCCGCTCTCGGTCCAGGCGCTCGAGCAGCTCCATCTTCTCGCGCCTCCAACTCTTCTCGCGGTGGTGCATCTGCCAGCGCAGGTCCAGGACCAGGCCGTGGCTGTCGGCCAGCAGCTTCTGGTGCGCCTCCCGCTCCCTCTTCAGTGCGCCCTTGCTCTCCACCACGGCGTCGGGCTCACCCAGGCTCTTCTCTGTCTTCTCCTCCAGCTGGAAGGAGAAAGACTCAGGGACCCTGCAGCCAGCAGGCACCGCAGTGCAGAGCTCAGGGATGTGCACGCGGCCCACACACCTGCGGAGGCCAGCCGGGGCCAGTCCCACAGGAGAAACCACCTCATTTCTAAAGTCCGAATTAAGAACATTTGGTACCCCACAAAGTAAAAGCCCAATCAAAAAATGGGCATCTGAAATGAGCGGACACTTCTCAGAAGATATACAGATGGCCAGTAAGTACATCATCGCTGGCCACTAGCGAAATGCAAATTAAAGCAACACTGAGATTCCATGGGAGCCCAGAAGGAGTGGCCGTCACCGAGAAATCGATAACGAGGGCTGGGGAGGCTGCGGGGGAAATGGAGCTCTTCTACACTGCTGGTGGGCACACAAGCTACAGGAGCCAGTACGGAGAGTCCTCAAAAAACTAAGACTAGAAATTCCATTTGACTCAGCTACTCCCCTTCTAGGTGTCTTCCCAAAGGAGCTAAGGACTTCATATTGCAGTGACCCACGTCCACCTGTTTATAGAAGCACAATTAATAGCAGCTAAATGTTAGAAGAGGCCTATATGTCCATCAACAGAAGAATGGATAAAGGAAAGGTGGTATTTACACACTGTGGAGCACTACTCTGCCATCAAGAAGGATAAATGAGTCATTTGCAGGAAAATGATGCACCTTGAGACCATATTAAGTAAAACAAATCAGATACACAGACCTGAATACTGTATGGATTCTCTGATATGAAAAACAGAATACAAATAAAGAGCAAAATAATAGAGAGAGAATGGGAAACAGGGAAATAGATATTTTTCAAAAGGGAGGGGGACCGAGAGGAGGGAGGGAGGGAATGGAGGAAGCAGGGATGAGCAAGCTGTGGTGCCCAGCTGGTCAGGACCTTGTGTTTTTCCTGCCTCAGTCTCTCAAGTGCTGGGGTCACAGGCGTGGGCCACCACATGCAGCTAATCAGATACTTTTGACTATTCTGAAACCACTTGCTTGAAGTCTTAAGCCAGGGCGTATGATTCCGAAAGCTCCTCTACTTGCTTCAGGCTGCTAAGGATTTGCTCGGTTGAACCGGAAGTTCTTCCCTATGAGGGCTCACGGGAGAGAACGAATGCTGAACCTCTCTCCCGTGAGGGAGCAAACACTGCTTCCCCCAATCTGCATGGAGCAGGAAGCTCCTGGGAGAGGAAGCAGAGGGAGGGCCTGGCCTGTCCTCACAGGAACTGCTCAAGGAAGCCAGTGACACAGGCAGGGCCGGGACAGAGGGAGGTGAACCAGCAGCATGGCTCCTGCCCCACTGGCCCAAGACATGAGTTCGGGGAAAATAAAACCCGTGTGTTCAAGGGGAAAGATAATGCAGGGACAGAACAGGAAGAAACGTCCACTATCAGCAGACCAGTGGGAGGCGCCGATGAGTTTCAGGCCGACAGCAGCTGCTGCAGCCCACACCCACAGGTGGGGTGGGCAGGGAGCCTGCGTCTGCCTTCCGCGGCTTCTGCGCACTCCGTTTGCTGCAAGTCGGCCTCCCACTTCTCCACCACACCCGGTCCCCAGCCCTGGCACATCTCCACCTGTGGGCTGCACCCCAATGCCCGGCGCTGCCAGCTTCCGGTGACTTCTGGAGATCGGGTTTAACGCCCTCCTCCCCCAAGCCGACCTGGCCTCCAAAGGCTCCGACACACTGGGCAGCACCTAGACTCCCCCGCTGCCTTCGCCTCCAAGTCCCCTTCCTCTACCAGGTTCCTGAAGGCGAGTATGTTGAGTCCTTCCTTGGACCTCTCTGGCTCCATGCAGTCCTGCAGATTCCTTGAGGTCCCTGCTCCTGACACTCACTTGTCCCCAAGGTACACCCACGTGTTGTACGAAGCTCCCGGCAATGGCCCACAAGCGTGACTGTTCTCTCGAAGGAGCGCATCGCCACAAGAAGACACAGCCATCTCAGCTCAAGTGAGGACCGTGATGCTCGTGTGGCACTGATGACAGATTTCTCAGTCCACGTCCCTGCTGCGTGGGTGTGGCTGTGGACGTCTTCACCCAGCCCTCTGTCCAGGACCCGTTATGGCAGCTCAAAGTCAGCCTCTTCTCTCTTACTCTGTCTTGGTGAAGGTACTGTCACCTGGGCACCGGCTCTAGAAACCTGGGAGCCATGCTGGCTCCTGACTGTCCGCAGCATCTGCTACTTTCTACTCTCCGTGTTTCCTTCAGATTTGCACCTGCCACATCCACGTCACCCGCTGCTCACCTGCTCCCTTTAAGAGCCTTCAGCTGCCAACCTTCCTCTCTGCAGTCCGGGTGCCCGGACCCCTCTGGACATCTGGGGAAGCCAGAGGCTCCTTCCCAGGAGTACTGCCTCATTTCTGGGGGGCCTGTCACCTGCAGTCACACTCATGGTGAAGGCTGGTGGACATCTGGTGCGTCGAGGGCTGGGATGCAGCTCAGAGGTGAAGTGTGAGCTTAGTGTGCAAAGAGACAGTGCATCTTCCCTTGTCCTAGTCTTGCAGCTTCCCAAGGACAATCTGGAGGCCCCAGGCTCAGCCATTCCTTCACTTCTAACAGCTTATCTCCACCTTGAAGGCGAAGTAATCATTTTAAAAAGGAGATCTAAACTCCATAAAAATCAGGCTTACAGCATCGACTGCTTCAACCCTCCCTGGGCCCACATCTAAGCTCCCACGCACCTTTCTTCCTGAGGTCCCACGGGCCCATGTTCTCCTGCATGTGCCAAGCTCACCTATCCGTAACACCTTCGTGCAGCCTCCCTGAGCCCCCAACTAGCTGCTCGGCTCACAGGCTCTTTCCACACCACTGCTCACGGCAGCCCTGTCCCGGTGGCCTGCCACACCACAAGCCCATCGGAGGAAGCTGGATCCTAGGCGTGCACAAGAACTGCTTTAGGAGCCAGCTGAAGGAATCACAGATTAGGGAAATGGCGCTGAGAGTACATATTTAAATTTCAGTAGAATTGAACTGTGCTGCATTGCAACCCTGTGGAAGGACAATGACAGATGGACTGGCATGGGCCACGTTCACGTTCACAGCTTCCCAGGTCGCTCATGCTGAAGAAACCTCCCTGGCGATCTGGACAGAGCCCACCTGGCGCTACCTGGCCTTGGGGTTTCAGTCCAAGCTCCGCTTCCCGGTGTGTGCTGACTCTCCCTGAGCCTTTATTTGTAGCGAATGTGTGGGTGGATGCCAGGTTCCCAACAAAGATGAGATGTTCTGAAATGGGCCCACATCAAAGATCATGCTTCCCCTCTTTAGCTGCTTACGTCTTGGAAAATATGTAGCTCCCTGACCTGGTGCCCTGCACACACACCCGTAAACAGGAGGAGAAGCAGCTTGGCCAAGGGCAGCCTTGCTCCATCTCCCAGTGCCGCGCGCGCTGAGACAACAGCATCCCTAACTACGGGTGCCTGGCAGGCGGTGGGCAGCGTGATGGCCCTGACTCCAGTGGCAGACGGGCTCGGCCCACAGCACACTGCCGAGCCAGGCACAGTGCAGGTGAGCAGCTGGGGCCCCGGGCCGGCTGGCAGTGCTGGGAGGTGTGTGTTCCCAGAGAGCAACAGGCCTGTCGCATCTCTGCCCAGGGCTGTCTGAATGATGCCTCCGGTCTTTGCTATTTTCTTCTCTCCTGACCAAGGCAGTCCACACGAACCTCTACCATGGTGAAGCCCAGGAAAATGATAATCAAAACGCACAGAACCTCCTCCCCACGACCAGGGCGGGACAAGCCCTAAGCAGCAGACGCCGTGGAGGCTGCAGATCACCTCAGGAAGCCTAGGGGAGAAGCCCTTGGGGGAGGCTGGGGTGCCGCTGGCAGGGAACATGCAGGAGGGAGCAGGACCCTGGCTCTCTTCCCGCCCCGCGCCAAGTGGCTTGAGATCTGAGACGAGTTCTTCCTCCTGGCCTCAGTTTCCCTTGGTGTGGGAAGTGGACTGGAACTGATGGCCGGTCCTGGGCAGGGGCTCTGAACCCTGCCAGTCCCGTGAGGCGTCTGAAGGACAGTGAGGCCCACCTTCCTCAGAGAGCCCCACGCAGTCTGCTCCTGCGTCCCGCCTAGAATTGTGTCAGCTCGGCGCGGTGACGCTGTCACACTGGCCCCTCCAACCTCATTGGGGGCAGATGGGCCAATGAGGCCAGGACGTCTGCTGCTTGACAGGCACCTTAGGGACCTGGGGGTGTTGGGGGCCCCGGGGGCCAGGAGGGGCTGGCACCGTAAGCAGAGGCATGGCTGCCACCCGCTTTCTCCCCGACCGGGGCACTGCCCCCCATACCCCGACCTGGGCGGTGAGGCACCCTGTCCCCGGCACCTGCTGCAGGCGGCACTTGAGCACAGCCCACTCCACGTCCCAGGCCGCCTTGTCGCTGGCGTACTGCTGCTGCAGGCGCCGCCGGGCCAGTTCGTCCTCCCACAGCTCGGAGCGGAAGTCCTCCAGCAGGGCCTTGAGGGTGCTGAACAGCTGCCAGTGCTCCACCTGCGAGGACAGCGGGCAGCTCAGCTAGACATCGGGGAGCACTCCGCGTGGGAGAAGGGGCGGCCCTGACCGCCGGTGGACAGGTCTGCTGCTGGGGGCAGAAAGGAGACCCCTGCTGTCCACGGTGTCTGGGGCTGGGGCAGGGCAGCTGGGCCACCCGGGCACCAGGCAGGGGTGCCCACAGCAGAACCCAGGCCTGCACCCTCGGGCCTGAAGCAGAGGCGCAGATGTAGGAAGTGCAAGAGCCAGGCTGCCTGATCGCCCCCTGGGCCCTCAGGGGTCTCCAGCTCAGGACTAGGCTCCGCCACCTGGCGTGGGGGCGCAGACGTGAGAAAACGCACACATGCCCTCTGTGCACGCCACCACTTATGCCAGCTGTGGAACTAGAAGAGAGCACGGAGGCTGCGCGCTCTGTGCACAGGTTATTACATCTGCCTTGGAGTCCCCGGGCGGTGTATCAGTGCCAAGCATGGCCACCCGGTGTGGGGGGAACCAATGCCTTGCAAGGAAAGCCAACTCTGACACACTCAGCCTGGCGCGGCCGGCCCCACCTTCCTGTTCTCACGCGAGCCCCTCACAGCCGCCTCCACCTGGGGAACTAGGCCCCGCCCACGTGCACTGCAGCACCTGCACAAGGCTGGGCCACACTCGGTACACGGGGTCGGGAGGTCAGCGGAGAAGGGGTTTTCACGGCGGCTCTGTCCATACCTCACGGAAAGGCTGTTTTACTGCTCTGGGCCTGGCCCTCTGAAGCCAAGCTGCGGTACCCACCAGGACAAGCACACTGTTGGCCTTGTCTGACCCGAAAGCACCGAAGTGCAGGCCCAGCCACCCAGCCTGTTAAGCCAGCAACACTCGCCCACGGTCTAAGGCTCCGTGGGAGCAGCTCGGAGATTTTAGGCGTATGGTTTTACAGTTAACTAAAGTTCAATTCTTAAGGACAAATCCTTTTATATGAGCAGATTAACTAACTGAAAACTCCAGAGTTGTCCCCATAACTTCACTGAATTACGCCATCAGAGACGTAGGCTTTTGATGGAGGAGAAAGGCTTATTTATCAGCACTTGTTGCTCTCTGGTTTTTTCGCCTTGAATACCAATTTTTACTTGGGACAAATGGCAATAAAAGTGAAAATCAATTACCATTTGAAAAATTCAGCAGTTAGAGAACCTTCTCAAAGCCCTACACACTCTTTCCAACCACCTGAGTATAAAATAAGCTGCCACCACCTTCAGGGAGACAAATGCTCCTCAACTGGGTGAAGCTGTGGTAAATGCACAGTTTTCCCAAACTCTACACCAAGAGTTTCTAAAAATTACATGTGTAAAAAAAGCAAAACTAAAATTATGTAAGCGCAGCTGAGCGAGTACTGCAAAATCTTTTCAGAAACACATCTTTGGATAGAATTTGCTGGAAAATTATGTATTTATGTTAGATCTCTTTAATATTTTCACTCCACTATTAAAAATCACTATTTTTTGAGTCAACAGAATTTTAAGCATGAAGTAACAGTAAGTATGATCCAGTCATTGGCGCAATCACCCAATTTTCACCGAAGAGGAGACAAAGAACCCCTCGATACCTTCTCATCATCAATAGCTTTCTAGGAGCTCTTCTTTCCAAGTCTACATGGTCTCCACTGGGGTAGTTCTCAGCCCCTACACCACACACAAGTGCTAAATGCATTAGAATTAGAACTTTATAGTCCTTTTGAGATGGAAAATTTGCTTTCTCTGGAGGCAAAGCAAGTACTTTTTGGCTTTAGCACATACCAGATTCAATAAAATTAAGCCTTAATGTTTTCATGCATGTTTGGGTTGGAGTAATCAACATAACAGCCCGTGACCCCAGGGCCACGTTAATCATCAGGAAATGAGCCCCTAAACTGCTCTGAGGTGAAGATGGCCAAAGAGAACACAAGAGCCTGGAGCATCGATGCTACCGGTGCCTGTTATCCCCGAAGCCCAGGGACACCGGGTGGGGTGGCAGGAAGCCAGGGAAGCTTCTGCCACAAATGTGTGTCAGCCAGAAAGGATGTCTATGCTGACATTTCTGGAGACCGCGGATGAGCCATGGCCAGGCTGACGCTTCTACACAATTTTTATACACACATACAAAAAACCCCGTCATGGTAATCGCTAACACTGTCTCCCACGGGCCCCTACGACCGCACTTGCATTTCTCAGCAGCCCTGTGCTCACAGCCAGTGCTGTGTTCCCATCTTACAGAGGAGACCTGCAGCCAGGAGGAGCTCAGCTGCTGCCAAGGCCCCGATGTTGAGGAAGTGAGCCTGGACCCCTGGACGGTGCCCCCGTTCATCCCCAAGGAAACCACACAAACCAAGCCGGGAATATTCAGATTCTGACGGGATACCCGCATGACAAGCTCCCTTCCCTCCCCTCTGCCCTCTCCTGCCTTTGCATCCTCCCCTTCCCTTCCTTGCTCACAGACAGCGGATGGAACCCAGGGCCCCAAGAACGCTGGGAAGCACTCTACTGCTGAGCCACATCCCAGCCCCAGTGCTTCCCTTTAACTTTGCCTTAGAGAAGCATCTCATGTTTGTGAGAATACTGTCCTCTCCCAAGTCAAGGGGGACAAGAAGGAAAGTCTGAAAGTCACTTCTCTCCTCCCCCGCTTATAGGTTTTGGGTAAAACGGTGACCCAAATCAAGAATCAAATTAAGACTGGGACCCACTTAGTCCTCTTTCTACCTAAAGCCACGTTGGAACCCTGCTGACGCTCTGGCTCAGGGATCCAGCCCCAAGGCCTGTGGGTGTGTGTTTTTCAGTATAGGTCAGTTTCAACTCAAGAGCCCAACTTTTCAATCTCTTCAGAGATCAGCTCATTGGTTTCCTAGCACAGACACAAGATAAGATGGCTTCAGCACTTCCTTCTCTTCCATGGAAGGGCTTTTCAGCCCTTTCCATCTCATTTCGTGTGGGCAAGGCTTAAAATACTCCTAAAACTGAGATTGGAGCTTGACCAGGAGATAATGTGTCACTTCACACAGCTTCAAGGTCAGCCTCCAGCCAGACTCCGCTGGGCAAGTCCCCAATGAACATCACCCACAGGAAGCTAATGGGGCGCCACAGATGAGCCACCATGCCCGGAAACCTGAGAGACTGCCTTTCAAACTCCCAGACTTGAGACGCGTGCGTCAGGTGAAATCTTACCTCTACCCCGGGGACACTAAACCTCCAGCCATCGACCCTGGCGACTGCCTCAGAGCCATTAACCTTGGAGACGGGCTTAATTGAAAGCTGGCACAGATGTATTGACCTGCCGCTGCCACAGAACAGAGGCGATGGCCGCCTGCTGCTCACTGAGGTGATTCCACACAGGCGGGGGGCTCTGGCATGCTGGGGAGCTCCTATTTGATTCATGCACACTGATAAAGCCCCTCTTCTGTCAGCAGGAATCCTGGGACGAGACCTTCCTGTGACACCAGCCAGCAATATTTCACAAGTAAGCCCTATCATTTTTACCTTCACTGTTACATTCAGATGAATCAAAGATTCTTTTCTAAGACCATTATCCTCCAATGGAGAGAAGAGGTGGGGTCATGGAAGGCTGCCCTGAGGGTAACTTGCTAGCAGGAGCTTTGGTATGGAGGTGCCATCGGAGGGGGCCCTCTGCCTGCTGTCACTCCCAGCATGCCCAGAACAAATGCAGGGAGGGAAGGACCAATGAGGCCCACAGTTAATAAGTGAACTCTAAGTTATGGTTCAGAGGCTCAGGAAATCAGGGCAGGTGTGGCGAGAATCCAGTGGTCGTTTGGGAGAGTCACCAACCAGGGAGAGTTAGAACTCCGTCACCCACTGTGCAGGTGTGCAGCTACCTGCTGGTAGACAGTCCCCTCACTGGGTCTCCTTGGCTACGTGTGAGTGTGTACCTGTACATGTACTAGGTTCAGAGCAGCAGGAACAAGGACAGCAAACGACCACAAAGACCAGAGGCTCTGAGACCTCGATCCTTTGTGCAGGGGGTTGTCTTATCAGAGAGGCTGCAAAGCTTTGAGGTGGGGAGAAGAAACACAAACCTCAAAAGAAGGCGCTGTCTAGGCTTAAGAGGGAGGTTTCTTCCTTAAAAAAGAAAAAGTCAGGGCTGGGGGTGGCCCTCAGTGGTGAGCGCTTCCCTAGCGTGCTCCAGGCTCTGGGTTTGATCTCCACACACCACAAAAATAAACGAGGCCTCATCTGGCAGGTGTTCTTTTTTGTTTGTTTGTTTGTTTGAAGCAGGGTCTCTCTTTGCAGTTCAGGGTAGCCTTGAACTCACTATGTAGCCCTGGTTAGCCTTGAACTTGCAGTGATCCTCCTGCCTCAGCCTCCTGAGGGCTGGAATTACAGGCGTGCTACCATGCCTGGGAGGCAGAGGTGTTCTTTCTGGAAGCTTCTTTATCTCAGGCAAGACAGAAAGGGGGCAGCTGGATGGCCAGGAAGCCGGCTGTGGGGACCGGAGTGTCTAACAGGCCAGGTTCCAGGCCCGGCCCAGGGACAAAGGTCCCCAAGTGCTACTCGGAGCTGAGGCTGGACCAGGTGGGACTCTTCAGTGACCAGGAGCAGGCGAGGCCTTACAGACAACTGGAAACAGCATCCCTTCGGCTCTCACCGTGAATTCTGCATCAGTTCTTCACATCTGCACGTGGCTGCTGTAGCAAGAGTCACGTCACATCCCCGAATACAAAAACAACTTTGAAGTCATGAGTCCAGTGTCAAGAAGCTGAGCCAACTGAACCACGAGGTCACAATTCAGCACCGTGCATCACCGGGGTTCAGCCCCGACTTCGGGAGTGTCTGACAGCTCTCACGGCGGGCCAGTATGTGCCGCCTTTGGTAGCCTGATAAATGTTGCCATCTACGGCGCCAACTGAGAGATGTGCAGCTCACCACAATCCGCAGACCTGGGCCTGGGGAACACAAGGCTTGGTCACTGGTCCTCGGGAAAGCCGCCCGGCTCCGCTACCCACGAGCTTGTCCCCCTGTGAGGTTCTGGGCTTCCTTGGGGTCCTGGCTCTGCAGAGGAGCTGTGACGCGTGCTGACTCTTGCTCTACGCAGCTCGGCTGGCACCGTGCCATCAACAGGAGTGGAGCTTGTACCGGAGCTGGTCACTCTCGGGGTCACTCTCGGGCAGCGGTCGCTCACAGTAGAGCTTGTTAGTCTTCCATGGCTGGGACAGGCAGGCCTGCGTCTGACAGTGTGGACGCCTGGGCAGCCTGCCGGGCACCTGTGTGGCTCACAGTCCACACCAGAGGCCCCACATCTGTGCCCACCTGTGAAGAAAACTGCTACAAACTGATGTCGGAAAGAGCAGGAGGAAAACGGGAGATGACACGAAACGAGGGTGACTTTCCATGATTTTCACTCCCAGGGTGACACTGTCCATGGCTGCTGTTCAGAACGCCAGATGGGTCAGTCTTTCCTTCTCCCAAGCATCTGGCCGCAGGGGTGACGCCCACCTCGGTGTGCTGAAGGGAGCCCACCTGAGCCAATCAGTCTCTTCAGAGGTCTGACCGGGACATCTCTTTTAAAAACAAAAATGTGACTGCGCTGAAGGCGTCATTTGCAAAGTCGCAGTCTAGTTCCTAACCAGATCACTGCCAGGAAACTTCTTCCATGATCTACAATCTCCCTGTGGACACCGGCAAGCGACACACTTCGTGACGGTGTGGGCAAGGCGAGGGTCCTTGGGAAGCGTCCACTCCCCCTTGAGTCCTCATGCTGGGGACACGAGGGGTGGACGGGAAGGGGAGAGCAGCTGTGCAGGTGGAAGACTGGAGCCACGCTGAGAACAACGCTGCTTCTCACACGCATCTGGGCCGAAGTCACAAGCTTTAACACAGGGCCCTGCTGGACACTGTGGCGCCCGCCTGTAACCCCAACATTTGGGAGGCTGAGGCAGGAGGATCACTGTGAGTTCAAGGCGAGCTTGGAGTACATAGTGAGTTCAAGGTCGGCCTGAAGTGCATAGTGAGTCCCTGCCTTACCCTGTCCCCCAAATTAAACCGCAACACAACGAAAAAGACAATACAGAGTCCTTCTCAGGGCCTCAATTCTCCAAATCTACTGTAGCTCCTATTTTGTATAAAAATGCAACCAAAAAAAAGGACATTTCGTTATCCGTAGTATCCACACCAAGCCTGGTCTATTTCTATGGTGCTCAGCAACACTAACGACTTAGGATCGAAATCTCACCTCCCTTCACGTATACTTCGACATTACTTTCAGGGATCATCAAATGTTTGTATTTGGGACACTGTCCTTCTGGTGCCATAGTAGAGAACCCGGAACCTTTATATGTGCCGGGGATTTAAAGGATGCCACACGAACGAACGCCTATGCCACACTCGTTCTTTTCTGCCTGCAAACCAGCCGTGCAGCCCCACATGCAGCCAAGTCCTGCTCCGAGTTCTCTTTCCAGCCGTGGTAAGAGCATCGCATTAGGCTCTCTCTTTCCTGTAAGATGGTCATGCGCTCAAGTCCACAGGAAGCTCTGGAATCTCCTCCCCTAAGGTGAATCGCTGGCCCTTGGGGATATGCTCAATCCATCTGCCTTCACCCTGGTCCTCTCACACACGCACCTGAGCCCAGTAAACGAATGGACCATGGTCAGGCAGGAGCCGATCGACAAGGCTGCTAACCAAGGTCCAGCAACCACGGGCAGCCATGGCGGCCAGGGTGAGGTGGAGGATTTCTGCTATGGTGACACCAGCACTCGGCCAGGGGGACAGCACAGGGCTTGGATGCGGGCACCCACCTGCCTGTGGAGTGGCGCCCCGTCCACAGTCTGCAGCCGCGATGCGTGGTCGCCGATCTGCACTGGGGCGCATGGAGCAGCCTCCCCCACCGGAAAGGCACAGCCTCGGTCACCGTCACTGTGCTCCAGCCCGTCTGCCTGGAGGCACCCCTGGACTCCGAGCTCCCCGAGCCTGGGGAGGGTCTCTGGATGCTCGCCCTGAAATCAGCACACAGGACACACAGCTTTGCCTGCAGCCTTTTGCTAGATGGCCTCATTTTTCTTTTTAAAAAAACAAGCTCTCACTATGTTGCCCATGTTGGCCTCGAACCCCTAAGCTCAAGTGCCTCGGCCTCCTGAGAACCTTGGAGTGGGGATTCGGATTTTCACTGAAGACAGCTATCCATTAACGACGTGGAGCCCTTTCTCGCCAGTCTCTGTCCCTAGGGTGTCCACGTAGGCATTTCACACACGGAATCCCCTCCACCTGAACGGCACGGGGTGGTGCTCAGCTTACTAAAAATTGCCAAGAAATCGTACTTCTCACAGATCAGTGTTGCTCACGGCTACCGCTTTATAAATGAGAGGAGGAGAAATTCCAGAGCACCGATCAACAGGAAACCTCACAACTATTCTACAGCCGAATGATGATCTTCTGAGTCGTGCGTACTAGGAAGCTGGTTGAATTAATTTTTAGAGATTTCCTGCAACCTGAGGAAAGACAACTACCCTTCACAGCATGACTGAAAATTGCATACACGGCCCCTGGAGTGAAAAGCAGACACAAGGTCTTTGGAGGCTCATAGGAAACCAACTGCCCATGGGGCCTGGGAGCCTGCGGTCTCCCTCACTTTAGTAATAAGCCCAGTCAGAACGAGAGCCTCTCCGCCCTGCTGCTGTCACCCACAGGGTCCTGAGACACAATGGAAAGAACATGCAGGAGGTCGGGTGGCTCTGGAGACCCGGGGAAGGCACCTGGCGAGTGTGACTCTGGCATCGGGGATGTGAAGTGAAGGGGTCGGGGGAAAAGGCTTTGGAAGCAGCATCTACAAACCAGCAAGGTTGGATGAGACGGGAAAGGGCCTTGGGTGATATCAACACAATAAGAAACCAACAGCAAAGGAGACAACAGCAAAAACGGTTCCGCAATGGAGTTATGGGCCAGGGTGCTCTCAAAGCTAGGTCCAGGGTCAGCAGAGCTCTCAAACATCCCATGCCTTGGATCCAAGCAGGCAGGGTGACTTCAAATAACGGGCACAGCTTGGTGTGCGTGCAGGTGTGCGTGGCACGGAGAAAGAGAGCTCAGAGCCGTGTTACCTCTGCGCCGTCCTCCCCACTGCCGCCTGCCTGCTTCGCCTGCCGCCAGTGCTTCAGCAGCCACCGCAGCTTGAGGTAGAAGAGGAAGATGCTCTGCCTCAGCACCCCCAGCTCCTGCTGCAGCAGCATCCGCTCCTCGCCCCAGGTGCGTGTGTGCAGTGTGCTCTGCAGCGCCAGGCTCTGCATCTCCAGCTCCTTCCAGCGCAGTGCGTACAGGTGCTCCTCCTCCATCTTGAATGGAACAGAGAGGGTGACAAGCGGCCACTCCACCTGCCGCCCATGCCCAGCCGGGGCCCCCTGCAGGACCGGACCCCATGCACGCCATGCTGCCAGGAGCTGCGCAAGGCAGCGCCTGGGGCGGGGCGACTCGGGCCTGGCCGGGCCGGGAGGCAGCGCAGCCACTCCACCTGTCCGCATGGAGGCCGGCGCCGTCTCTACCCCTTGCTCTCTGGACCAGTGGCTGACACAGGACCCGACTGCCACGGAAGCAGCTCCCACGTCTCCTGTGTCTGGGCTGGGCACACAGGTGCACTCCACTGTGAGGAAGTGGAGAGCCCGCCCTTACGCTTCCTAGGCCCCTGGGTCCCCACAGCCCTGGAAAGACGAGAACTCAGAGCTGACAGGAGGGAGGGAGGGAGGCCCTCTGGGAGCCAGCGCGGTGGTGGAAGGAGTTGTTCCCCAGAGTGGACAACCCATTTCCACACTAAGGACCTAACACCGTATTGGATCGACATCTCTCCTAGGGACACAAAGGCACTGCTGGGGAAGAAGTATCTTCCAGCTTAATGTCAAGTTCCTGCTTTTTGCTCTTCTTGGAAATAGGGGTCTTGCTATGTTGTTTAGCTGGCCTCGAACTCTTGGACACAAGTGATCCTCCGGCCTCAGCTTCCCCAGGAGCTGGGACTACAGATGTGTGCAACCATGCCTGGCTAGGTTACTGTTTTTAAAACACTTCAACAGCCTTTCGTGCGTGAATTAGTAAGCGTCCATTCTGATTAAGCAAAGAAGTGCAAATTACACCTTATTTTTCAGATAAGGTACAAGAATAAAACCTATTGTACTAAAGTGATACACAAGATTGAAGGTTTCCATTTCGCACACCAAAAGGGGCTAGAACAGCAGTCTTTCTGCACCATGGGCCTCTCCTAACCTCACCTCCCGAAGACCAAGGCAGTGATTCCCCTAAGCACTGGATTAACGTGCAGGCCCGGGGCCAGCGGCCTGTGACAGTGAGGGCCAGTGGGGCCGCAGCTGGGCTCGGGAGGCGCGGGGACAGTGTGGTGTCAGCAGCCGCGTGACACCTGCCAGTGTGGGGCTTCAGGCTGGGAGGACACCGACATGGTGACTGCCCATGTGTCGGGAGCCCTGTGGGTCCCACGGCCACTCTTCCCTGGGGACTTTGGGGTGCGATGGGGGGGCAGCTGCACGCACGGAAACCCGGTGTCTGCCCCACCTCGCTGGGCATCCCCAGGTCGACGCAGTGAGAAGCCTGAGCTTCCTCGGGGCGACACAGCAACACGGCTCCTTCCTGAGGCGCTGACGTGGGGGACCATGGGGACAGGCCGAGGGTCGTGCTCATCCCCCACCTGCAGTACCCAGCGCTCCCTGGCCCTTTCGGCTCCTTCAGCTCCTGGCTTCCACCTGCAACCCGACCTCAGGGCTGGCATGGGCACGTCAGGGGACAGTGTCCCCTCCCCCATGAACAGCCTGTGGGACTGAAGTCCCTCCCTCCACCCACCCCTTCCAGGGACTCCAAGCAGGAGACGTGCCTGGGACCCCACTTCCTAGCAGCCTCCCCAGCAATGTCTTGCCGCCCAGCCCCATGTGGTGTGGTGCCAGAACATTTCCAATTAGCAATTTGCGTAACGCACGGCCACTTCCCTCTGCTGACCTCCAGGTGCGTGACTGGCAAGGGGTGTGCACCTCCCGGGAAAGGCAGGCAGAGGCACTGGGAGGCTTCCGTGCTGCCACTCCTACTCTGTAAGCCTTGAGGGGCACCGAGCAAGCCCCAATCAGGCTGTGACCCACTTAGACCCTGGTGGCCCTGGTCACACGCGTACTGCGCTCGCTCCTAGCAGAAGCAATCCCTGGACACACTGTGCAACAGCGTGCTGCACTATGCAAGACAGACTGCTTTGTTTTGTTTTAAACACACAGCTCTTTAGAACACATGAAGGGGAGAAGAAGCGGACAGCAACCATGAACCTGGGGATCTGGGTGCAACTTAAATCAGATGTGGGTGCAGGGCGGGATGGTGGGCGAGGACCGCCTGCACCTGCAGACCCTGTGTACCGGGAAATCCAGGGACAGACCTTGCAGGTAAAAGACAAGCAGCCTGCAACACGTACTCTGGAGAAGCTGGAGCCTCCTGCTGCCTCCGCTCCATGTGGAAGCAGTGTTTTGAAAACAACGGTTAGGGGTGAGCTGATGCTCCTGTCAGCTTTCCCCTTTGTGCAGCCACCTGGAGACAGTCACACTGCCTGTCTGGCGGGACTGAAGGCCCCTGCTTTGTCAGCTTTGGCTGGCTCTGCTGCAGGGACGGCTAGACATGGGAAGACTCTCCTGAGTCCACAATAAGCAGTCACCCCGTGCCCATGGGTTTGCTTTCTGTGGTTTCAGCTACCCGTGGTCATTCAGAGTCCCAAGTATCAAACTGGAAGTGCCAAAAATAGCCAATCTGTAAGCTTTAAAGAATGCTCTATCATTATGATGGCTCTGCTGTGTCACTGTGTTCATCTGTTACTGCACCTACTTTGTGAGTCCAGCTTTATTGTATGTACAGTGGAGGAAGAAACAGTGTTTGCAGGGCTGGGTCCCATGTGCAGAACGCCCCCAGATAAGGAGACAGGTCTGTGAGGGGTGGTGGGGTGCCCTGTGCCTGTTGGCCTTGGCTCCTGTGCCTGATAAGACAGCTTTTTGTTTTTCCCGGGACTGGAGACTGAACCCGGGGCTTCCACACTGAGCTTTACCTATATCCCACTTGGAGACAGGACTCACTAAGTTGCCCAGGCTGGGGTGGAACTTGTGTTCCTCCTGCCTCAGCCTCCCTCACTGGCGTGTGCCACCGTGCCCGGCACAGACAGGGGCTCTGCAGCGCGAGGAGAGGTGTGCCCGGCCCCGCGTGCGTATTTACCTTCCGGATGGTATCCGTCAGGTCTCTGCCTCCTCTGGCCGCAGTCTGGCCGCCTGAGCGAGCTGGCCCTGAAGCTCCTCTACCGATACACTCTGCTTGGGTAAAACAGGGGGCCCTGAGCTACCGGTGGGACAAAGGAAGGGCTTTAGTGGAAAGCAGAACAGCGCCCGGTGACAACGCAGGACAGACAGCGGCACAAGCGGACACACAGTAGCGGAGTGACTGCGGACGTCCCAGGAGCCCTTTCAGCTCCCTCCCAGGAGGTGAGGTGGCTGCGTGGGGACCCAGTGTGAGTTCAGCCACCACCACAACCACACGGCCACGCGAAAGGGAGCCGGAGCACCTGCAGGGTCCCTGCCACTACGGTGGCCTCCAGACGCACGAGGCGTGGAGACTGCGCGTGACCCGGGTCGGGCAACTGCCCGTCACAGTCGCTCCCTAAGCCACGAGGGGCCTCACGGGTCCAGGCGCCTGTCGGTGAGGGAGGTCCACGTGCAATCCCAGCAGGGTGGCCCTGGGTGCTCAGGCGACAGAGCTGCCCTGGCAGTCACCTGCCCTCGAGCCTCGGTGGCACACACTGCCCAAGAGATCCACACCCAGGTTTAAAACAGGCAAAGGGACCTGTGAGGTCATGCTCACCGGTAAGGTCCGTTGTTTATGTCCACATGGCACAGGAGAGCGAGCACAGTCGTTACCTTTGAAATACAGTGTTTTCTAGAGGTGGACACACTGTCACACTAAAAATCTCAGGCACTGTTAAAAACGAAGCCTGACATTTTACCTGCTGGTTTGTGCTACGTGAACACAGGTGACTTATAAAACTGGGAGTCAGTGGATCGCTGCCAGAGAAACACGTCAGCCCCCAGCTCATCTGTCCCCTCTAACCCGTCTGTTCTATTTCCCTGCGGTCACCACTCTTCCTGGTCAGAGGGGACTTAGGTGTCCCACCCCAGGACCAGGGCCCAGGAGCAGGAAACGCAGGAGAGCACAGTGCAGGGCCCTCCCTGGATGACAGAAAGGAGAACAAGGAGAACGGAGCCAGAGTCCGAGACATGCTGGGAGTTTGCCAACTTCGGGTAAAACTTTTTGAAAGCTAGATTTCAACTCCTCCTACTTTATGAACTAAGAGCTTCTGAGAACATTAAACACTTCTACGACGTGCTGGTTGTTGGAGATTATTACCTAGTCTTCTACATGAGGAATCTCTCTGAAAACAGGTATTTGTCTACATGTTGAATTTACCCCAGTGACCAATTTTTCATGTCTCAAAGGTCTATTTGATTATGTTTTAAATGTGTGCAGTCTTCCTTGAGAACATAATTATTGAGTGAAATAAATCAGACACACAAGCTTAAATTTTATATGGTTTCTCTTATAGAAGAAACCCAAAGTAAAAATAACAGAGCAAAATAAAAGACAGATGATAGAAATGCAGAGAGGTTTTCTGCAAATGGGGACCAAGAGTCAGAGCGAGGGGAGAGGCAGAGGGGCGTGAGGAGCGAAGATGCTCTGTGCACGCACCGAGCCCCACGGGGAAGGCGAGCACAACACACTGCAAACAGACAGTAAACGCTGAAACCAGTATGTGTGCAGGCTTTTAGGGCCGCAACTTATTCTTCTATCATGTGCGCCTGCCGGCAACAGTGCTGAGTGCACTTCCTATACAGGCTCAGCCTGACGATCTTCTTTTCTCAAGGTCTGAGCACGGAATCTGCTGTTTCCATGATGTGTCTGAAATCCTCTGTCGTCAGCTCATCTTCAGTGAGCAGTTAGTGATCCGTGGTCTTGGCCAGGACTCGGTTGAGAACACGCCCCACCCCGGGTTTGGAGAAGGCAGCTATGCAATACGGACTCCTGTCTTTGGGCCTCAGGGACCCACCTGGTACCCAGTGCAAAGCCTGAGGCTATGTGGGGGCCGCCATGGCTCCTCCTACTGCAGCCCACAGCCCACGCTGCGTGGCCAGGGTCCTGCTGCCTCTCTGCCGCCCGGCAGCCAGTGGGCAAACGTTTCTCCTGTTTGTCACTTTCCTTCCCCATCAGTGCTGGGTCCAAGTCCCCGTCTCCTATCCCCTGGCACCAGAGAAGCCTGAGATTTCTGGTTATCAACTCTGTAACCACCCCTACTCTACCCCACAGCCAGGGACTGCCAATGTCTTCAGTTCTGCATCAATCCCAGCCCTTGGGGAGCTCCCTACCTGAGCCCTATCATAAAAGGATGTTTTGCATTTCATCCATTTTACTCAGCAAGTACTGAGTGAGATGGGCACTGTCAGGCACTGGGCTGAGCACAGAAATGAAACTGCCCCGCCCTGCTGGGTTGTCTCCTGCAGCCTGCGTGTCTTCTGCAGGAACGTTTTCAGGGGACCTTCCAGCTTTGCTTTTCAGTCACGCGTTACTCTGCAAATCCAAACTGTGAAGACCCTCCACACGCTCATGCATTAGGGACCAGCCAAAGCTTCCTATCTTTAGATACCAAAACAGATGTTCTCATCAAGCTCATTGTTTAAGACAAGCAGAGAGCAACTAACTTAGTCTCTGTAGACAGGCTGCATATCCCTTCACCAAAGTGCTGGGACTGGAAGTGTTTTAGGTTTTGGACTGTTCTGGGTGGGTCCTGCACGATTTGCATATGCAAATGGGGTGTCTGGAAGACGGACCCAAGTCTAAACACAAAATTCATTTGTGTTTTGTATGCACCTTATACACACAGACTGCAGGTAACTTTGTGCAATGCTTTTTAATCATTTTGTGCATGAAACAAAGTTTCAGAGTGTTGAATTTTCCACTTATAAAGTCCTGTGGGTGCTCAAAGTGTTGAGGATTTTGGAAGATTTCAGATTTTGGGTTAGGGATGGTCAACCTGTTTTCACATTAATAAAGATCTGAATTTTCTTATTTTAAACAAACAGCAGCGCCTCAGACTTCAGCATCACTTGATCTGTGTGAATTGCACAGAGGAGAGGTCCAGGAACAGGATCCGCAAGGTGTCCCAAGGTGGCCCCGCCATGGGTCCCATTTCCCCACGGAGGCCCCAGAGCAGTGGTGGAGACGGCAGCCTGGTCGGTGGCAGGAGCATGCAGGTCCTGTCGATCACCCAGAACCTCAGAATCTTGTGGGGTCCACGTTTTTAACACAGTAGTAAATCTCCTGCGACAGCCACTCCTCGCTCACCAGGATGCCCGAGTCACTCCAGTGTTACAACAAACAGAAAACAAACACAGCGGCAAAAGGTCCAGTCTGAGTGAACTCTACTGCAAACAGCTGCCACAATCACATACATTGGGGTTTGCTGTCACACAAAACAAACAGCTCCCTTTACCACCAAATCCCCAAGAGATGTGACTGTGAACACCATCTGCTCACTTACCTAAGATGCCGACCACACAACGAACAGGCCCTCCGACCCCTTTGTGAGGGCAGTTTATTTAAACAAATGCCCCCTCCTGCTCCCCAGGCTGTTGGGACATTCATCTTGATATGGGGGCACTCTGCTATGCCCGCGGCCTGAAACCCACCACCCATGCCCTGCAAGGCTGCAGCCCACTGTTCATTTCCTGAACATCTCCAGTGACGTGGCTCGTGACTCCTGTCCACACAAAGAAGACGGTCACTACCTCAATAAACAGAGTCACTATAAGGCCGACAGTGCTAGTCACTCGGGACCTACAGTCTCCGCCTTACCAAGACTGCTTCTGGTTGGTCCCACCTTGTCCTGCCAGGGATGTCACCTCCTCTTTCTAAAGCAGCACAGGTGGGTCACACATATGGCCCAATGCTTGGCATAAGCGCCATGGGGTTCTATGGTGACTGGCGTTTCACAGTGGGGCACGAGGGGCAGCAGATGTTTGTGCGCTTCCACGGTGGAGGAATAAAAGGAGGAACGAGGGAGAAGAGCTCTTGGAGATTTCTGAGGCAGAAACTCAATCTTTGGGGCTCAGGCGTGGCTTCTCCTCTATGTGAAATCCGACCGGGGTCCACGCTGGGCCACTTCTCCTTCAGAACTATTTTTAAGGTGCCTGCACATTCCAGATGAAATACTCCAGCGCGGCTTGCTCCGGACAAATGTGACTCTAGGCAGATTTCAAGGGGGCCGCAGGGCAGCGCTGGGCACAGCATGGGCATCGTGCCAGCACCACAGAGGGCAACCGGCACCACAAACACTTGTCCTCAGACTCCGGGTTAGCTTTCAAGCAGCCGATTTCTGCGCAGGTGCAGGAAGCTGCTCCGGGGTACCCCTTCCTGGCCTCTTTTGAAAATGAGCCGTAAGAACCACCCCTCCCTTTCTCTCCTCAGTGGTGTCTGTTACCACCGCTGCCACTGGCATTACCATTAGTAACAGCCATTGTTATAAGCTGGCTAAGATACCTCAATCTTGCAAAGTAGTTTCTTTTTGCTCCTGACACCAAAAATAAAAATCTTCAGGGCCAAACACATGGAAGGCATTCCACAAATGGAAACTGAGAAACAGTTGCTTCTTTTCTGCCGAAGCTCAGAATGTTTTCTCATTTATGCTGCTGTTGTCACCCAGCTCCCACTGGGGGGCCCTTCGCCCGCTGCCCATGCTATGTCGTCTACCCGCTTCTCACACACTGGGTGCTTCGTAAAGCATTTCCTCACTGATGGCTCTTTGGTCCCGAGAACTGTCCGCGTACAATCACGCGAGGCCAGGGTGGGCCGGTGCTCCCACTCCCAATGACAGAGGGAAAACAGGCTGGAGACTTCTGGAGCAGGGGAGCTGCAGCGCCGGGCCTCCGGGGTCCCTGCTACCTGGAGCTCAGAGCGGCGTTAACTGCGGCTGGGAAACGCATCTTCCCAAGGCCTCTGCCCCAGATGTGGGTCACGCGTGCTTGGCAAACGTTCTCACCGCCAATCGGAGACGTCCCCACAACCTGCACACTGGAGAAGGTGTGCGAGTGTGCGGCCTGGAGGACTGGCAAGGTGCTTCCTGTGCAGGCTCCTTGGTCAGAAGGCGCTGCTGGGCTAAACGAGGTCCCCAGATCCTCGCTCCCGTATTACTTTTGGTATCCAACCTAGGGCCTCCTGACCTGCGACTCTGGGCGAAGCACACTGGGGGCTCAAGCTCTGATGGACTTGGTGTCCATGCACCCTGCAGGCCGCACTGCCCCAGGTCTGCCTGCTCCCCGGCCAGCTGTGTGGGCATCTTGGTCATATCCGTGGGCGCAGGCGTGCTTCCCTTTGGGGTGGGGACCTGGCTGCCACCTGCCCGGGTGGGCCTGGCCTCTCTCCAGGGACTAAGGATGAGGAGCCGCACAAGATGCCCTGAACACTTGTCTTTAATGGAGCTTTTCACAGGGGAATTTCACGTTCTCGCGAAGGCAGTCACAAAGGCAGAGAGACGAGGTAAGTAGAGCTGCCTGGGTCCTTCTGGGCAGGGCGGCCGACCCACACTGCCCAGCCACCCACTCTGCAGGGCCCGGGCTCCACTTCCTCACCAAACTGCCTGGCCCTGCTGTAGGGTGAGCTTCTGTCCCCTTTGGCTGTCCCTCACCCCATGCTTTGGCACCCAGTCCTCACGCTGGGGCTGCGTCCCTCTCTGTGGGTGGCCTGCAGCTCTCGTCCTGCCAATGACCTGAGTGAAGAGTGGGTGGCAGCCGGGACTCGCTCCCTGGGGACACCTTTCTGATCTGGGTGGGGTTACTTCTGTCTCAGAGCACCTCTCTTATGGGACAGCAGTACCCGCGCAGTGGCTGTGGCTTTGTGTACACAGGTTTGCCATGGCAATGGAGACAGGTTGCCACAGGTGGGGAATGGATTGTGCTAGCGGACCTGAGCAGTGCCCCCAGGCTCCATGGGGTGGGTCACACAAGACACAGGTGACAAAGAACCATGGGGCAGAGTTTCTTCCAGACTAGGAAGGATCCTGCCTGGCTTTCCTCCCTGCTTTCTTCCAGAGCCGTCCCACCAGGCACCCACGGCTGCCACCCGCAGGCACAGCACACAATCCCAGCAGGTGAGTGGCTCGTGTCCTCCTGCGCTGCTCCCCGAGCCCCTGGCGCAGGTTGGAAGTCCCACGGGGAGCCACACGGAACGAGGAGGTGATACAGCCCAGCCCACTGACCTTGGGACTGAAGCAGCTCTGGCCTCCTGGACAGTGGCTCCCGGTGTCCCCATCGGCCCGGCGGTGCAGCTCCTGTGCAGTGTGGAGGTGCGCGCTGTCGTGGTCCTCCCCTCGGTCTGGCCCCAGCCGCCACTCCTGCTGGTCTCTCATTCTGGACTGTGAGGTGCAGGGGAGGGATTTGGGTTTTTTTTTTAAATTTAAATTTTAAACAAAAAACAAAGGACAAGGGGCCAGGGGTGGGGTGGGGTGGGTGGTAAAGAAGACAAAAATGGACAAAGTCGATGACCAGATAAACGCTACCAGACAAGAAACACTTAAACAGGGAAACTAGCTTGAACAGAGCTGCATGAGAGGGAAGAGAGATGCAGATGGGCAGGAACAGCTGGAAGCAGAGAGAAGGAGGACAGTGCACACTCGGGTGATAGGCGCATGCAACAGAGGACACAGGTCACAACTCAACCTCAAGCACACAGCACGCAGGACACGCAGAGGACGGGCTCTTCCTTACGTGCGGGTGAAGCAGCGCGAGCCCCATCCAGGCACAGCGAGCCATGGCCGAGCCAGGACACGGGCCTGGGCGCCAGGGCTGTGGCAGCAGCGACTTCCCAGCAAAACAGGCTTCTCTCTCTCTCTCTCTCTCTCTCTCTCTCTCTCTCTCTCTCTCTCTCTCTCGGAGGGGCTCCTGCCCCCACTCTGCCTAATCTCCAGTGAAGCAGGTGGCCTAGGCCTAGGGCCACACTACGCCCCTCAGACGCTAAACTCTGGAGGGGCCTGGCATCAGTGGTGAGTCTGCTGCCCATCCTGCCTGCGAGGAGAGCCGACGCTGTCTTAAACTTTGCCTCAGTGTTTCTTCGCCAGGGCGGCTGGTGGTTTGCAACACCAGGAAAGGAGCCGGGCCGGGCCGTCCGGATCCCTGGGGCCACAGTGTGCTGAGTGTTGTGTCGAGACAGGGCCCAGGCACCACTGAGCAGCAGCGTGGTTAGAAACAACACAGGAGGACGGAGGAAGAAACGGGAAATGAACGAGAACTCAAAAGCAAAACAGGAACCCAACCAAGAGTGAGGGTTTGGTTGGTGCAGAGGCTTTAGTACAGTGCAGGTCTGAGATCACAGCCAGGCAGCCATGAGCAGCGAGAGCCCCAGAGCAGCCAGGCCAGCGAGCAGGAGGAGGAGGAGCGGGGCGCAGCAGTGGGGCGAGGCTGGGAGACCCCTTACCTGCACGTCGGGGCCCAGCTCCTTCCCCAGGTTCCCAACAGGGGAGTCCCGGGGCATGGAGGTCACGGTGGACAGGAAGCTGGATGACTCCGTGTGGTGGGGCAGGGCTGACAGGCTGTCCCCGAGGCGGGCCACCTGCTCCAGGAAGGCCTGCAGCTCCTTCCGGAAGGCCTTCATCTTCCTGTTGATGGCCCCCAGCAGGTGAGGCTCGTCCTGGCCCCCGAGGGCCCTCTCGCCCTCAGCCTGGAGCCCAGGTGAGTTCCGGAGGAAACTGTCGGTGTCGGTGATGAGGTGCTCCATGGTGCGCTCCAGCTGCTGGGCCTTGCGCTTCAGGGCCACCAGGTGCTCGGCGTCCTTGGGCCCCCGAAGCTCCGCCAGGCAGGGCTCGCTGGCCTCCGACGGCTTTCGGCTCCCGAAGCCTGACGTCTTCTCGACCGTCTCATCCGAGTCGCTCTCCCCACCCACAGGGCCCTCCCGCTTGGGCTGGGGCAGGCGGCCGTCCTCCACGTCACTCTCCTTCTGGCCGGTGTCGCTGTTGGCGTCGCTGTCACGGGGGCTCGGGGCCTGCAGCCCGAGGTGGGCACTGGACAGCATCGCCAGGTTCTCGCTCTGCAGCTTGAGCACCTTCCCGCTGAGCTTGCTGATCTGCAGCCTGGCTGACCGCAGTTCCTCCTGCAGCGGGGCCATGGTGCCCTTCCCCAGGCTGTCCCTGCGCCACCCTGGCTCCGGGCAGGGCTCGAACTTGAATTTGCTCAGCTCGTGGGTCAGCTGCTGGTTGTGGGCCGCGATCTCGGAGATGGACCTCCGCAGCAGTGTGGCCTCCTCCTCCACAAACTGCAGGTGCCGGCGCAGCTCGGCACAGGATTCCAGGGAGTCCCCGAAGGGTGAGGTCGGGGCACGGGGCACACGGTCCTGGCCAGCTCCCTCCTGCTTGTGCTGGACCTGCAGGTCCTCCATCTCCGCCTTGAGGCCCCGGTTCTCCACCTCCAGCTCCACAATCTTGCGGCCCAGGATGTTGGCTTCCTCCTCCACCAGCCTGAGCCGCAGCTTCAGCTCAGCCTCTCGCGTGCTGGGGGGCCCGCCGGCCTCCCCAGTGGGCAGGGGGCTGTCCACGTCCCCATAGAGGGACTTGTACTTCTGCAGCTCCTGCTCCAGCTCGTCCTTCTCCCTGCACAGCTTGGCCATTTTCTTGCGCATCAGCGAGGCCTCTTCTTTGGCAAACTGAAGCTGGCACTTCAGGTCGGCACTGTCATCCTGCCAGGAGAGAGCAGTCCGAGAGATGCGTTATGTGACAAGCCCAAATGCCTGTGTCTCTGGTGCTCCCCTTGCCTCATCCCCAGCACACACACACACACACAACACCGATCATCCCTTGGCACTGCTGCACAGTTATGGCAACCGGGGCTCCGGGGAGGGCACCTGGGAAAGGCCTGGCACTTGGTACTTTATCACAGAAACACGAGAAACTGAAGGATTAATTTTGGAAAAAGCAGGCACATGAAAGCTGCCACACAGGTTACGTATGGAGGAGGAGACGATGAAATGAAACGCAGCACCCCTGGGTACTGTGGTGGCCCTCGGCAACTGTGCAGATCCAAACTGGTTCATCAGCAGCACCCACAAGAGACAGCAGCACCCCTTGGTGAGGTCTGGTGCAGCCAGCGGCCGGGGCCAGACCTCCAGGGCACCACATGGAACCAGCAGGAGGGAGGGAGGCCCAGCAGCTCCCAGCCTGAGCCCAGCCACCCAGCGAGGGCCAAGGTCCCCGAGACAGGGCAATCCTGTCCCCCAGCTCCAGAAGGACGACTCTGGGACAGCACAGAGAGGCGATGGGCAGGAGAGGGCTCCAGAAGCCCGGTGCCGCGTCAGTGATAAGCCCTGGCGGGGAGCACTCACTGGTGCCTGGGGCTAGGTGCCCGGCCATGCCAGCCTCTCCCCATCAAGGGCCCTTCGGAGGCCTGGCTGCTGTTCCTCTCCCCGCAGCTGCTGCGACAGAGCAGGTAAACTCAAGGCCCAAGGCAGGGAGCTGCGTGGACAGACGAGTGTCTCCAGTTGCAGGAGGGGTCCTAGTAGAATCCCAGTGTGGGCACCACAGGGCTCGGGAGAGTCCCGAGGCAGGCTGCGGAGGACAGCAGTGCTTTCCAGGCCAAGAAGGCGGTCAGCACTGCCTCTCCCACACAGCCTTCCTGCCCTGACACAGCATGAACTCTGTCCTGGACTTCAAAGGCAATTTCTGACTCCTACTCAGTGAACAGGAATGGGACAGCGACCGTTTCATGGCTCATTCCTCTGACTATCAGAATCCCAAGGGCCGGGGGAAGGACAGAGCAGTCAGCAAAGGGTCCTGCTTTGGGGCTCACGGTCAGCAGCGGCTCTGAGACACGCCATCTCCGAGCAGCCCGGGCTCGACCCGCACTCTGGAGCAAGCCACCCCTTGGGACAGGAGGACCCAACACCACCACGGTGCCTCCCAGCTCTCGTCCCTCACTGCAAAACCAGAGGGGAAAGATGCAGAGGAAGACTTGGGGAAAGGCCTGGGCTGAGCGTGCAGCCTGTGCAATGCAGGGAGTGTGCCCTGCGTAGGACTCTGCCCGTGAGGGGCGTCGTCCACCACTGCTGAGCCCCGGCCAGGCCTGGGGACGGACACACTGCCCAGCGCTCAGGCTCTGCCCCCACCATCTGGGTCATGGTCACCTGCTTCCCGGTGTCTACAGCAGGTCCACGCTGAACCCAAGCTCAGTGTGTCGTCAAGGTCAGCAGGAGGAGCTGTAACAGGAATCACCGCACCCCTTGGCCCTGAAAACAGCCTTTGTCTGAACGCAAGGAACACTGGAGAAAGCAGTCAGTGACTCATCTTCCTTGGCGTATGAGGAGAGTAATCCATAAGTGGCACTTAGCACATTAAGGATTTGCTTTGGGTTCGGTTGGGCAAACACAAGAAGCATTTCTGGGAGAAGCTGGAACCAAGGTTGCCGGCCCTATTGAGCCACTGGGAAAAGTAGTTATGACTGACGCTGGGGTGGTAACCTTGTACCTAAAGGTCACACAGGTCACAGGCGCCGTGGACACTGCATCGTGTCTAGCCCCAACACTGAAGGACAGGCGTGCTTGCCTATTTGTTCATTTGTCCATTTTTCAGCACAGGGTTGCTGAGCAGCTACTCCATGCCGGACATACACACGGTGTTTCTCAGAACTTTCTACAGTAACAGAATCAGGAGCACATTTCCACCTTTCGGTAAAACAAGGATGTGCAAGAAATCGAAGTACACTGACAGGTCTCTGGGGTTCACATGAAGGAAAGGAGTTTACAAGAAGCTAAAACACACCCTGCTCCATGGAGACAGACGGTGGGCACTTTGTGAATGAGGTGGTTTGGGAGCTGAAGGCCAGCCAGAAGCCTGAGAGGCCTCTGCCACCAGCACTGTGCCTTGGCCAAAGTCACCTGTGGGGTCCCCTTTGCCTCTGGGCAGCGGGGCCATCCAGCCACAGGGACCCGAGGCCAAGGCACAGGCAGGGGCCCCTGCCTTGGGAGGTGCAGGCAGGCAGAGCGCGCCCGGACCCTGGAGCCCCGGCAGGTGGGTGGGCAGAAAACAGAGGAGAGAGGGCTCTGAGAGGCCCTGGGCACCGCTGGCCTCGCCCTGCGCTCCGGCCGCTCCCACGAGCCCAACTCCCACCTCCTGAGCCCACCTGAGGCCGGGAAGCGCACAGCACCACCTGCGCCTGGGCGGATGATTCGCAGGTTACCCGAGGGCGATGAACACCCAGTCTTCTGGCTCCCTAAAGAAAGAAGCTCCCTGAGAGGGGAACGCCAGGGGCGACGCGTCACGCCCACTTACACTCACACACGCGCCCACCACCAGGGCTGAGGACAGCTGGGGACGGGGCGCATGCGTGGGAAGGGGGTGCAGTCCTCCCTTAGGGCCACGTGCCCAGGGGCCCTGAGAAGCTGAGTCTGGCCTATCCGCTCCTGAGAAGATGGGGACTCAGCCGGGGCTCAGGTGGCAGGAGGCTGCACCCCTGTCTTAGCCGTAGCCAGAGACTCTGGGAACTAGCCAGCCGTGGCACGTGACTGTTAGCCCAGCACTTGAGAGGCTGAGGCAGGAGGACTTCAGCGAGTTGGAGGCCAGTCTGGGCTACACAGTGAGTTCAAGGCCAGCCTGGAGTACAGGGCAAGACCTTGTCTCAAAAAACAAAAACAAAAAGATTTGGAACCGGCCCAGACCCCAGAGGAGGTCCATGCTGAGCCTAAGTGTAGGTACCACAGCCCCCCCCCACAGCTCCAGGAGGGCTGTGTGACAACTCTGCATGGCGACAATTCCCCCCACGCAGAGAGAGGCAAGCTCAGCAAGGGGCAGACCCCAGGGCCAGCACCGTCACCTCCAGCCGGAAGGGCCTCGTCAAGCACTAGAAATGTATCGTCATCACTATATAGTCTTTGGCTTGCAAAGCTGCTGTGTAGCCAGCACCCCAGTGCTGACGGCTGCATGCCGACCTCACGCCAGGGCGCCGGCACCCTTCGGTTTTGGGTGGGCAGCCTGCAGTTCCAGAGGCACTCGGCTCCAGCTTGCTGCTGAACAGAAACTCCCTTCTCAATCAGCCTGCAGGCAGGCAGAGCGAGCTCCACACCCAGCGCCTGGTGCCTGCTCCCGAGTGCAGAACTGCAGCCCCCGGGTGGCTGCTCTCACCCCCAGGCAAACGCTGCTGCCCCCAGTGCAGGCAAAGCTCTCTGCTGCTCAAGAGCCAGAAGGTAGGAACCTGTCTGAAGCCTGGGAGGGGGCACTGGGCAGGGGACACCTGGATGAGCATTCCTGCTGCTCACATTGCCTGGCCCTCCTCAAATGACTCTGGGGACCCCGAGGTTGGAGGATGCAGAAACCAGAGGGGATCAGAGGGGCCTGAGGCACGTGGGTTCTGGAGCGGGCCGCTTGGGCACCCAGACTCTCTTGTTACTGCGCTCAGAACTCAGGGAGCTGCTCTCCCAGCAACACCTTTGTTCCCCCAACACCTGAAACTAGCAGCAAATAAAAAAGGGTTGGGGGAGAAAGGAATCCAGTTAAACAACTTTTCAGAAAAGCCAGAATAGCTCTGAAGAACACTTATTGTGTGCGCAGAAAGAGCTGAGCTTTTACTGTTTTCTTCCCAGCTGGCATACCGTCCTTTCCACCAGAACAACTTATGCCAGTGTTCAGCTCGCTCATCCAACACACACACGTGCATGCAAACCCGCAAAATCCAAAAGCAAAACCAAGACCCCAACAGCTCGTCAAGGACCCAGCCCTCCCGCGACTTATTTTACTGCGTGAGGACGCTGAAGGCTGGAGTGAGCTGAGTGTCCGCCTGCAGGGACTGCACCACTCACATAAAGCCAGTTTGTTCTTCTTCCCGAAGAGACCTCCAGCCTTTCAGTACAAGGGAGAAACAAGAGGAAGGAGCCAGGGCTTTGGAAAGAAGGGGCTCAGCTGGGAAGTTGTGAATGAGTCTCAATGTTTCAGCAGCTCATGTTTCTCTGAATGCTTCGAAGGCAAAGCTAATACTTGTTTGCCAAAATTCCCAAATGTGACCGCTTCCTGTGAGGAGAAGTAACCGCAGCATGAAGACCTCGCTCACCTGGCTGAGGGTTTTCTTCTCCTTGTACATTTCCCGACTGCCTCTTCTCTTCAGGAAACTCTGGAACAGATCCAAATGACATGCTGTTACTGAGGGGTGCAGGGGACAGCCACACTATCCCCACCAGCCAGCGGGGACACAGGCGTGAGGCTGCTGTCCTCTACAGTCAAGGAACAACTTCACCCAGAGCTCAGCACTGAAGGGAACACAGCTGGAGAGGACTTGAGTACTGGACGCTTACCCCATCCTTCCTGGATTCGCGGACAGGGTCCTCGATTGCCCAGTTTAATGAAAAGGCAGGCGGCCTGGACAACGAGGACAATGGAAAGAAGGTAGGGAGACAAAGGCGTACGTTTCAGAGACACACAGGATTTCTGGAGTCCACTTCTTTCCTAATTACGTTTTGTTTGGGCTACCATCAAAATGAATGGGTGTTTCTGGGTTCCCAGATAAAAGTGGTAGGCAGGGTGGGGGAAAGTAGCATCAAAACAGACCCTAGGACAGGTGAATAAAACATCTAGATGCAAAAACTCCTAAGGAACTAGAAAAACAATGAGTTTCTATTTGTTCTCAGAGCACGCCCTTTCCAAATAGAAACTTTTAAGGGAAAAGACTGTGGGCTGGTTAGGGTTTTTATCTTTCTATCTATATGCAAAGAAACTACTGACTAGCATCGAAAGACAAAGGGTAAACTGGGAGCAGAATCTAACTCAGGACAGAAGAGGACTACTGTGCAGGAAGTGGGATAACCTCTTAGCAAAAAAATAAACACACAGCCAATAAAAATGACCACCAGCAATTAGAACAAGATACCTTGTTTAGCCACTTAAAAGGTTTATAGGCTCCAAAAAAGTAGGGCATCCCACGTCAGCAGGCACCCACGGAGTGAGCGCTCCCACGTGGATACCTGGGTGGGTGTGGGGCACCCCACCGTGGGCACGTTGGGGACAGGGGCAGAGGCACTGCCAGCATTTACAGCTCAAAGCGCCATCACTGCACCTTTTATAATTCTCACTGAACACCGTGGAGGTCTCTTTCCTCCTTTATTCTGTATCTTTAGGGACCTGTGCAATGTTTTTATAGTTTTATCACAGGGAAGCGATGACTGTAGTCAAGATAGTTAGCACTCCCATCATCTCGGTTACCTTTATGCTTCTCTTGGCAAATTACCAAGATACAGTGCTGTGACCTGTAAGCCTCACAGTACACATTAGGTCTCGAAATACAATGGTGCATTTGAATCATGAAAGATCCAGGAGACACAATACATTCAAAGGAAAATGCAAGTGAAGAATCCCATGTGTTTGGTGATCTCAGCATGATTAGGTCATGTATCGAGGGCGCACACCAGGGAACTGGACTGAAGGAATATACATCTAAATATTCAAGAGTTGGCCAGGGATTTAGCTCAGTGGTTCCGCCACCTACCTTGCAAGCACAAGGTCCTGAGTTCGATCCCCGGTACCACACACACACACACACACACACACACACACAAATTAGATGTATGAAAGGGCTGGGGATTTGGCTCAGTGGTTCCGCCACCTGCCTTGCAAGAGCAGGGTCCTGAGTTTGATCCCCAGTACCAAAAAAAATAATTTTTCAAAAAAAAAAAAAATGTTCAAGAGTGATCATCTTGAGGCGACAGAATTATGGGTGGTTCTAGTTTTCCTTTTTGGTGGCTTTTCACAGTTCCCAAAATATCTACAGTGTGTGCTATGTCCTTTACAATGGGAAAAGAAAAATAAAAAAAGGACTGCGGGCACAGTGAGGTGGTACGGTGTATGTTTAGCATGTGTAGGGTATCTGGCACCTAAATAAACAAGGACTCAGGGTAAAAAAGCCTAGAAACTGCAATGTGTACTTCAAAGATGTCAGAGAACAGAGCCTAGCCCGACCTCCTAGGCAGGGCTGCCGTGGTGCGGCCGTCACTCACCCACTTCTGGCTGTCTTTATTAGCCTGGTCCTTTGGGTGTAACTAACTACATGTGGACAGTTTGTTAAGAGACTGGGAAGCCCTGAGGGGGGAGTTGGCTGGGTACCCCACTGAGCTGCTGCCCCTTGGGTGTGCAGTCCCTGCCCAAGAGAGCAGCAGTTGTGAGTGACGGTCCCCGTGTCCAGCGACCCGTCCAGTAGAGAGCTGGCAGAAAGGGACTGTGGGCTGGGGAGGGCGGGGACCCTCGGTGTGCACAGTGTTCCTGTCTGGGGGACTCAGCATCCAGGGAGTGGCTCTTCAAGGAGTGAGGAGAAGAGAGGCAAAAGGGCTGAGGATCCAGTGCACAGCCAGGAGCGGGAGCGGCAGCGGGCAGCGGGATCATTTCCACACTTTCTCTTCAGGCTGGTCCGCTGCCAGCATATCAGCCCTACGCTCCTACTGGAGGGGGAAAATTAAGTTTGTGAATCCAAACTGAACCCGTCTAAGGCCAATGCATTTGCTGAGTCCTGAATATGATTAAATAAAATATGCAGTTAGGCAATGATGTGGACTTTCAAGTTAATTCTTAATGGTTCCTATTTTAGGTCCAATTTCTTCCAAGTGATTTTAGGAAAACTGACAAACTCAGCTTTGCCAAAGTGCCCAGAGACAGACTCTAGACTTAAAACTTAAGACTGGAAATAAGAAGAGGCTAATAAACATCAGGATAGTGTGAAGCCTGAGTCAGTATGAGAGAGTGGCTACCGACGTAGGCTGATTTTCCGAATTCTTACAGACGCTAATTGCTCGAAACATTTACTCTTTTCTTTTTTTTGGCTGACTTACAGCACACAGAGAAATAAAATCAGACAGAGAAAATGAAGGCGACAGTCTTCTTCTCCCTTGGGATGAGGCTGAATTAAAATTCCCACTGAAACTGTGCAAGGGATGGGACAGACTGGGCTCCTCCTCCCCCAGCCCTGCCCTCCCTTTACCCACTCTGGGGGAGACAGCAGCCCCCCTGCCCTCCACGGCTCACTGCAGGGAGAACCCCAGTTGGCGCTGCGGGCCTAACACGCAGAAACCCACCTCAGGCTTGGTGGCAATCCCTGCCTAGCCACAGTGTGATGGAAACCCCGCCTTCTCCCAGGTCCTCCTGGGGGGACAGGGACAGCCACCAGGTGCTGGGCACCAGCTGAGCTCTTGCGTTACACATCTGTTAGGGGCTCAGTGTTCGTCACCCGTAATTTACAAGTTGCAACCCGAGTGCCCAATGCAAAGGTTTCAGAAGGGGAGGCTTTGGGAGACAATTAGGGTCCAGTGAGGACCCCAGGGTGCAGCCTGAAGGTGTGATTAGGCCCCTCAAAAGAGATGAGAGGAGACAAAGCTTCCTCCCTCTGCCAGCGGAGGGTTCAGCGAGAAGACAGCTATCTGCTAGCCGGAAGGAGCCTCTGAGAACCCAGCCACGCTGGTCCAGAAGGGTGAGGAGGCAGTGTCCAACTCAGGTCTTCTGTGAGGTGCATTCTGGTATCACCGACTCACAGGTGACAGAGCTTTCAGAAAGTCAGCGGGCAGCGGGCATTTCATGGCCCCCAGGCCTGGAGGTGAGGGGCAAGCTGAAGCCACCTCCCGGCCTGCGCTCTTCAGACCTGGACAGCAGCTTCTAGGCCTCGCACTGCCCCGCCTCCACAATTCTTCTGAGTCTCCAGTTGCTGAGCTTTCTATAAAAAACCAAAAACAAAACACCCTTCTGCCTCTCTTTAGCAAAAGAGCCCAAAGAACTATTCTAAGGCAGCTGCAAAGTGCTGCGCTCCCAGGGCCCTCACACACGGCTGTGCAGCGGATTTGCTGCCACCCTGCAGGTTTCTGAAGCTCTGGGCTGCAGACAGCAGAAGGCCTTATTTGGAAAAGTAAGACAGAAAACCATCACCAGTGGGCAAAATACCGCCAAGTCAATGTGGAAAATTATACCGAGACACTTTGGCTGCAGGAAAGGACAGCCATAAAAGTCAGCAAGTGGCTGCCGGCACCAGGGCCTGAGAGGGGAGGGAGGGCCCCAGGGCAGGACCTGGCCAGTGAGCCACAGTGTCCAGGGCCATGAGGCCAGCAGGGGTGTCAGAGACCCCAGCACACCCGCTCCCACACTGACCTCCTGGAAAAGAACACGCTGGCAGAGGCTACTGGGCATGGTGCGTGCACAGCTGGAGAACACGACACGCACCTGACCTGCACGCCCAGCTAGACAGGCATCTTGACGGGAGTTACGGGAAAAGTGCCCCAAACACCCCACCACATGGTAGTCTGAACCAAACACCACAAACTCAACTGAGGGGAGAGAGTAAAGCTGTGAGTTATAACTAATAAGCAAAGAGAAAAACGAAAAGGTACAGCCCTGCAAAACCACCATGATGGCGGTGTGAAAAGCAGCATCTTCCCCTGAAGTGCAAGAATCCCAGCTCTGAACAACTGCTGACTGACGTGTGGGCTCTCAACACCTCCACCAGGAATTATCACATTAAACCTGGGTGTCAAAAGCCCCTAGCAGGGGACCAGTAAGTGGCACAGCCTCCAATTTAACAGCCTATAGTGACCTACATCTCCTGCCTGTCAGAGCTAGGGGTAGGCTGTGTCTTTTCAAAAGTAATCTGTCTCTGTCCCCCGAGTCTACTAGAAAGAAATACAACAAATCACCAAGAGAGGCAAATTATTTCCTAGTTTAATGAAGTAATATGAAAGCGAAGTACTTTGAAAACAGAAGAGCTAGAAAATCATACATATATATATTAAAATGTCCCCTTTATAGTGAGAAATTCATCACTCATTTGTAAGACGCATGTGATGCGGAGAATATTTGTTGTATTTAACTTTCAAACAAAGTAACCACCGGTGAGCAATCCTAGCCCCAGCCTTGGCTGCTCCTGTTCCTCCCTCCACGTGACGGAAGGCCACAGGGGAATCGCCCCACAGATTCATGATTCTCCCAGAGAGAACTCATGATTCTCTCTGCTCTCCGCCAGGCTCCCCTCACCTGGGGAACTGCGGGTGATTCAATCAGGCAAGGGCAGCAGCAGGGTGCAGGGGAGGAGCCAGAAGCTGCCTGCTCGCACAGCTCCGGAAGGCCCAGGGCCGGCACAGTCGGATGCTG